ATAACTGCTACACACATAATCGATCAGAGTCTGCGTATATCTGCAGTAATGCGTGTAGGCTGATCAACATGCATATGTAAGTTGAGTGATTTAAACAAATCTGCCAAAATCTGAATATGTGTGAACCGTTTATCAATAAAATTTACATTAAGATCGCCTACCAGTAAAATATTAGTTTTAGTAGGCATTCTGTATATCAAATCTTTCGAAAAATAAAGCAAAATCGCCATTTAGTGGTCTATACAGACATACAATAAACATATTTAAAGTCAGTGAGCCAACAACCGAAAATTCGAATTCTTTTTCCATTAAAATCTGTACAGTTAGTAAAATATTGGTCATCAAAATAGTCGTCGTGTATCAAAACCATGGTTCCTCCATGAATAAAATTAGTTCTACAAAATACAGACAATATACAATACCTGGGCAAGACCAGAGTTTCGTTGGGTGAGAGCCAGTGTTCAATGGGAAGAATAATATGCGGCAGGTTAATTGACACTAAGAAAAGTTATAATTCATCGACCTTATTACGAACAGACTGAATATTGAGCAAAAAGAGAGACATTCTCTCTATATCATCCGACCTAAAAAAGAATTGGAGCTGTCCGTAATATTATCTAAACTGGTATTAGAAACTCTAGGCTTGGCGGTCAGATTAAAAATGCTGACAACAGATTGAAAAACTTGAAAACATAGAAATTTTGTAGGTAGTATCTTTGCGCTATAAGATGCATTTCCATATACGTTCCTTTCATTACAGTGCATAAAGCTGTTTATTTTCCGTTTTTCAGTACCTATCCCATTATCTATTTTCTGTTATATAATGTGTGCATCAAGAACTGCGTTGTTTTCGCATCAAACCTAACTCGAAATATATGTGTTAAAATATCTGCTTATCAAAAGAGGCTAGAAATTCTTGTTCATATTTCCTTCTAGACTGTTCTATCTTGGTTTTGAGGAAGTTATCTTGGTTCTTGTAGTTCAAGTTGTCAGTTTCGGAGTTGCTTTTCAATTTCTTGTTTCATAGATTCCATATTAAATGCATTTGTGGCTTCTTCGCATTTTTCATCCATTTCAAAATTTCTAAAAATTACTAAGGAATTCTACACGAAGCCGATAAACTGATGAAACTGAAACTTAATACTTAATACTTATATTTTAGGAATTTACAGGTCTCCTTCAAGTAGTGTAGAATCATTTTTAAATAAGCTGGAATTATTACTAAATGGAATACCTGTGAATACTTCTATATGGTGTTGACTGGAGACCTTAATATAATTTTTTTAGATAAATGTAACAGATATACCCAGTCTTTGGAGGCTTTTTACCAGGAGGAATTTTAGAAGATTTGTTTTTTTAGTGTGACAGAGTAGACTGGAAAACGGTTTTGTCTACTGATAATGTATTGGAAAGCCTTCATTCTGTCATTATTGATAACTTTAGTTTCGCATTTCCTCTTGGTAAAATAAAGAAGAAAAAGAGTTGGCCTTGGTATACGGCTCTACGTATCTCTGGTAAAAACATGCGTTGCCTTCACTAAATAAGAAAATTTCAAATTAATAATGCTAATTTTATCAGATACTTTAAGAAGAACCGTAATATCTATAGGGCTACTATTAAACTTGCCAAGCCGTATTATAGGAATAGAATTCGTAATGCTTCCAATAAATCTAGGGAATCCTGGAAAATTGTCAATGACTTGCGTGAGACGAGTAAAGTTGCATCTGTTTCTTCTTTATGACAGGCTAAGAATCTCAATAACTTTTATTGCTCTATTGCCACTAAATTATCCCAGGGCATTTCAAATAAGATGGATCCTAGGGGATATTTAAGCCATATATCAGTAACTGAAACTTTCTTTCTTACCCCCACCAATGCTCTTGAGGTTCGCGACATACTTGGCACATTTGAACAATAGGAATTCCTATGGTTGGGATGGGCTATCTTTGAGGGTGCTTCTTGCTTTGCCGTTTGGGACGCTTCAGGCCTTGGCTAGAGCAATCAACGACTCCTTTGTTTCTGAAGGGTGGAGACCACGACACTTTTTCTAACTTTCGCCCAATTGCATTGTTGCCAACCTTGGCTAAAGTGGTGGAAAGGTTAGTGAAGGCAAGGATGGTATCTTTTATTAGGAATCATGACCTTATGAGCACGCAGCAATTTAGATTTCAGGATCAAATGGGTACAAATGATGCCATTTTTGACTTCCTCGAACATCTGTAATTCCGACCTAACGATGGAGAGGTTGCTGCAGCGGTATTCTGTTATTTGTCTGTGAGACTTGGTATCTTGACTCTCTATTGTTTGTTTATTTTGGAAACAGTCTGTCTCGTTTTCAAGAAACATGGACACGAGATGTCTGAGGGCGATCATTACAATATGCGTCAAACTCACTCTCAGATTGTCTATCCCACATTCATAACTGGTTCGGAGCTCTATAATTTACGGAAGGAAAAAAATATTTAACTATCTCCCCTTATGCTTGAGAAGGCAGACATGTTAGAAGACAAGGGACATCTGGGGAAAGCTCATTACCACATTAATGATTTTTCCAATGGCAATTTTAATTAAATGTATTATGGTATTTTGTCCTATTTTTGATTTGGTGTTGTGTATGAGGTTGATGTTTTTGCTTGTTTGTTTTTATATTTATTTTTATTTTTAGTTATATTTTGCTGCTTATTACTTTTTATTTGTCATTTTAACTTTAGATTTTTATTCATAACTTTGACCTATGTAAGTATGGCTTTGTCAATAACATAAGTTTCACGACAATAAAGCTATTTTTTTATTTGATTTGATTTGATTTGATCAGATTATTTAATTTGTTGTTCTACTTGTTTTAGATTGTAGTCTTTAATATGTAGTTCACTAGACATAATATGTATAAAATTCGCCGGGATTTTTTAACTGTATACAAAAATAGTTGTTTAATATCACATAGTAATTGCCAAAATACAGTTATGAAAACACAAGTAGTAATAATGCGTGAGATACTTGAACGTTTTTAGTAGAAGGAAATTTTGCAACGAAGCTTTAAGAGCTTCTCCAAAATAAAAATCTCATTACAAAACTCACTACATTTTAAAATGTCTTTAATAATTCTTATTTGTTGAACGCAGGCTTTCTGCTCGATGGTAATCTACATGGAGAGTGAAATAGTGTGGGAAAATATAATAGGAGTGTGTATGTGGGTTTGATAATTTATCTAATTAGTTTTCACTAAATGGGGATATTTTAGGCTTTGCATAGGTATCCAGCTCATTCTACCAATTACTATTTTTGACAGATTTAGAACTAAAAATCTAATAATCCAATGGTTCAACAATAAATTGCCAACTAGTAAAAAAGATGTAATCGTCTAATCAAAAGATAATCTGGCAAATAAATAAATTTTAACATTCGCAAAAGTCATTCATCATAACGAATTTGTTGCATCTTAAACGAGGTTACTATGTATATTTTGCAATAACAATTCTAGTTATTTTTTGCAATTAGATGTACGAATTTACAGATAATAGTTTGTTTTTAACTAATAATGCAATTTGTTTATTCTTGTATATCATTGCAAAAATACATGTTGATGACATAAGTAGGTAAAGCTGGTTACAGAATTTTGTTAAACTTTTGGCAAGAATTGGGTTAACAATTTAGAACATTCTCCTCAAGAAGCTAAAAGATTATGATTATTAAATTTATAATCGTAATATTGTGAATGCTTTAAATTACATGTTAGCTTAAAACTATTTTATGTTCGTGAGGTGTAAATTTTGCAATCAAATTAGTAGCCCAATAAGGTACTCATACCATCTATCACTTTTTTGGGTCTAGGATAATCATAAACAAACCAATCAAATATACAAATTACATCTTTCATTTACTCTTAACTATGGTCAATAGATTTAAACTTAATTTCCTATTTTCTACTTTCGATCATTAGGTTCAAGATGATTTTGTTAAACGCTTATTGTCTTGAATTGCAGATGTTTGCTTATAAGTGAACATTTCGTGGTCAATGTGAAAGTAATAATACTATTTTGTGTCTATTATTGCTACAATTATTCATCATAATATTTATTAATGTACACTATCAATTTTTTCATGAAATTCTATAACCAGGTATATTATGCCAAAAACATTGTAATACAGTTGAAAGTTTGAATTCATCAACTTTTAACATTTAAAAACTCATAACCCACTATTAATTTTCCATTTTCTGATTCAGGGGACAATAAAACACTAAATTACCAATAATAAATAAATCAATTTGAGGAAGTATAGGTATATTTTTTTCAATTATGTGATATTTCTGGTTAAAAGGTCAAAGTGAAAACAGTTTGTCCAATAAAATGACACCTCACTCGCTTTCTTAATTGTTGTTGGTTTCATGTAATAATTTTATCAAAGGAATGTGAAATGTAATTATTGATTTATAATTTATAAATTTGATGGAAAATAAATAGAAAATTAGTCCCGCCATTGTGTCAAATTAATCAAGTAGATGCGTGACTGTAAATAACATGTTATTTTGGGCGAATGTTTAATTTATTCAATCAGTATAGGTATGTGTGTATGTATACACAACCCTCTCAGAAAGTGAAATTTTCCTCTCCCATTTATTGAAACTCTTACTCACTCTGGACTTATTTCTCCCTATGATTTTTATTTTACTTCAAAAATTCAAATGTCCATTTTACTCTAAATTCTTGTTGGTCTAACTTAATTAAAAAAAAACCGATTAAGCCCAAAATTGTTACGACATTCAATCATAATTGTATGTTGTAATGAAAAATGTTCAAACTCAGAAAGTATAATAGGTTTCCAAAGAAAAGCTGCATCCAATTAGCGTTAAAAAAAATACTGCCGGCAGTCATATTCTTCCTTAACAATTCCAAATATAGACAATACAAAATACCAAGTGTACTTCATAGCCAATTAACTCGTCGATGATGTATAATCATTTTCCCTTTCATATGAGTAAACGCACTTAATTTTTAGGTATGCATTTTTCGGTTCTTCTGGTCACTGTTCTAGTGACATGTGCCATACAGACACACGGATCCACTGCTAGAACGGAAAGACAATTTTCCAAAATTGGTAAGTAATTCAATCAATCAATCAATCATGTTTATTAGAAATAAGCAATACATGCTGTATAACATAATAGTTAAGCCTAGGTATACAGTTAACTTTAAAATAAGGTAAAAAAATAATAATAATAATAATAATAAAAATTACACATGTACGAAATATTTAAATAAAACACATAACACATTGGTTCCTTTGAAGCTGACTAGCCAAATGAAGTTTTTCAGTTTTCGAATCTTCGGTCCATGTACCTACCTATTCTTGGAAACTGTAGTCAGCTCTATGTGTCAGGAATCTTCTAATTATTTTAGCGAATGAATGCAGATTCAGATCTCTAATTTCTTGTGGCAGTTTATTATAGAATGCTTTTTCCTTGGTGAACTATCGTATTACAAAGGATTCCGTGATTTACGCAGTCGAAGGCTTTTTTCAAATCAAAAAACATTGTTGCGATTGCCTTGTTGTTATCTCTGGCTTCGTACCTATGTTTTCTGGATAGCGCTGTAGACAGCGTCAACGGTGTTTTTTCCTATTTGGAATCCAAACTGTCCCCGCGATGTATTATTTTGTTTCTGTTTATGAAATCCTCCATCTTAGATTTCACCAAATTTTCCATAAGATTTGGAAAAATTGAAAGCACTGATATGGCCTATAATTGACTGGTTCAAAGCACTTGCTATGTGTGACAGGGTTGTTTTGATCTCTTTTGGCGTAGTTGGTGTGAAGAAAACTGAAGATACGGTTTGGGCTGGAACTACGTTGCATATTTTCGGGACATTTGGTATATTTTGGAATAATGCTTCATTACTTCGTTAACTGCATTCTTTGCGGTTTCTATAAGCATATCGTTGACCGTGATTTAGACTTGTTTTCTAGTAGTAGTTCTACCGGCTATCTCATTAATGATGTTCCAAGTTTTTCTGGTTGAGTTTTTGAAGTTTCTAATTTCACCGATGTAGTATGATTGCTTAGTTTTTTTTGCGACAGCTTTAGAAACACTCCTATATCTTCTATAATAGAGTTTAATGCCCATATTATTGGTATATTTACATATGTAGCCAAGTGACCTCTTGTTTTTGGCAGATATTCTTATTCCTCTGGTTATCCATCTTTTCGGTTTTGGCCTGATGTTTGCGGGCCTTTTCGTAAATACGTACTGAATTGGAGATGTCAATGAAAATTGAATAAAAAGCCTGAAATTTCTTTGAAGGAGCACCTGTGTACATTGTGGACCAGTCTGCGCGATGGAGCTCTCAAGTTCTTGTTGTGCTCGGGGAACGACCTACAAGTCATCTCCTGCAATCTATTTTCTACCTTATATTGCACATATCTCATGGTCTGATAAATTAAAATTACTTACGGTGGTAACTACTTGGTCTTTGTTAAAATTGGTACAGCAGTAATCAATAATGGAGCAGGAAGGCTGGCTTAAGCCCGGGACACATCTATCATGCATTCTTTCGATCCGACTCCGATCATACAATCAAGGTCCTTATTCTTGGAACAGGGGAGCAGCGTTCCCAGAGGAGAACACCTGGGAACACTGCTTTAAGATTTTGATGCATCTCTAGTTAGAGCTTTTGATCTAGAAATATCGGTTATGGGATTTTTAAGCTTTTAAAGTTGCATTATAAATCTTCTTACCTCAAAAATTATATTTTTTGAACTGCTCTACCTCAATTTGAGTTTCAAAATAGTCAGAAAACACAGTTCTATAGTTTAATTTCATTTTTAAACAAGCTGAGAGGAAAATGTTCATGTTTCTCAAGAGCTCTAAAAAACCAGTAATAAAATGTATAGTTTCTATGCTCTAAAAGAGTTAAAAATTACCTTTTCAAACTAAAAAGGCTCAACTTTAATTCGGAATCAGTTTTATACAGGTCCACTTCAATTTGAGTCCTATCTCTGGTTCAAATTGCAGCTCAAGGAGTTCCAGGAATAGGATTTTTACGCCTGCCTAGTTCAGTTTTAACTCTGCAAGTTGCAAAGAGTCAATAATCTCAGCTCTAGCTCAATGTCAACTGTAGAAGTGATGAAACTAAATAATTTATACTCTTCTAAGTTCAAATTTCAGCTCTGGGAGTGCAGGGAATGGGATTTTAACGTCTCTCTTCTTAGGTTTCAACTCTGCAATTCGCATAATCTCAGTTTTTCAAGCAGCTCTAGCTCAATTTCAACTCTAGAAATATCAAAATTCAATGATTTATACTCCTCTAGTTCAAATTTCAGCTCTAGGAGTGCCAGGAATAAGATTTTCACGCCTCTCAGTTCAGTTAATGTTAAACATCTCTAGTTCAAATTTCAGCTCTAGGAGTTTCAAGAATAGGATTTTTACGCCTCGCTCTAGTTCAGCTTCAATTCTAGAACTGCTAAAACTCAATGATTTCCTCTAGTTCCAACAGCTCTATTGTGTGCCGGGAGTGGAATTTTACCTTCTCTTCTTCAGTTTCAACTCTGCAATTCGCAAAAGTCAATAATCTAATTTTTTCAAGCCGCTCTAACTCAATTTCAATTCAAGGAATATCAAAACTCTAGCTCAAATTTCTGGATAGGATTATCCTGCCTTTAGGCCTGTATTCATAGTCGTTGCTCAGTGTTGCGTCTTCGCTCAAGTACGACTTGACGCCATATTTACGTTTCCAAACAGCACGGAACGATGCTCACAACTGTCAAAAATTGGAGCTTGAGCCAAGCACCCGTCTATGAATACCGGGCTTAGTTTCAACTCTAGAACTTTTGAAACTTATAGGGTTGTTTCTCAATAGTGAGTCACCTCCGGGTTGGTTTTAACTCCAGAGTAAACGTGTCCAGTTGCAATGTTTACCCTGAGTTATGCTTAATCCGAGGGTGACTTGCTATTGAGAAACCGGCCTTCACTGATTTACCCCTCTAGTTGCTCTAGGAGCTCCACGAATAAGAGTTTTACGCGTCTCTAGTTCAGTCAGTTAATTCGGAACAATATAAACGGAACTTTCTAAGAAGAACAAAAACACAACCAATTCCAAATTAACCCAATCTAAGCTATCGAAATTTGGTTTTAGCTTAACCCAATCTTCAACCATAATTAATTGTATCTCTGAAACTATAAATTCAACTGAACTGAAGTTCTCAGGATTTTTAGTTTATCACTAAAATAAGATTTTATAAAACTCTCAACCTCATATCTATCAAACAACTGGAGGTATAATTTTCATAGCTACCTATAAAGCTCTACACATTCCTTCAAAAATGTTGAGATTTTAAACTTTTCCATGTTAAACTTTTGAAAACGTTCAATCTCCATACTGTGAATCATTGTGAGATTTGAAGCTAAAATGTTTGTTGTTCCTGTTTTTATTTTCTCTTATTTTACCTGTATTTTATGTCCCGATGTCTTGTTATATTTTTCCTTATAGTTTATTACTTTATTTAGAAAAACGACAAGCAACAAATAATGCAGATCAAATGGTGCAAAATATCCTCGAGTGGCTGCAAGGTGTCTACGCTCAAAACAGCAGAAGAAGTAAGTATTGCATAAAATAATAATCGAATCACATTTTATTGAAATATTAATAAATAATTTATAAAAACACGCCATTTAATGAGTATACCTACGAAAAGATTACCATTAGAAATTGCTAATTTCATTAACTATAAAGGTAAATGTCAACGAAGACCTTTTATACATTATACCACATAAAATATATGTAATGTGATTTTCATATTCATGCATGCACTATTCACATCGAATTTAATTCAAAAAGGATGTCACTATCATCATCATTGAAGCGAAAATTTTATTTTTCCGCATAGAAATAGATCCAATGGCACAAAAACAATAGGGATTTTAGTAAAGTCATGAACACGAGTTACGCAAATAATAACTGAAATCAACAGATTAATAATTAAATTTCCAGCTCTTCACTCTAAAAGATTTTTCAATGTAACAATTACCAAATTAACAATTATATACTTTCATGTGGGGAACAAGAATTCAATTAAGCTTTATTCTTCACAAAACAATAGCATACGATGTGAATTCTACCTAAACAAAAGCTTTATTTTATATTTTGGGTTCAACTTTAATTTAAGCAATATGGTTAAGGAAGGACGTTGAGATTTTAAGATAATGAAATCATCCGAACTAAGAGGTTTTGGCCGACCTTTAAAATTAAATGTAATTATTCATGTTTTTATCTATATATAAACAAATAGGTAGTAGTTATATTATTATTACATTAATGTGAACAAAATTTGGTTCTAGTTCGTCAAGGCACTTTACGTACATACCTACCACCGCCAAATTCCGAAAAACCACGCCCGTTCCAGACTGGATATCCACCGGCGAAATATTATCCAGAACCGCCGTTTCCGTTCCCAACTAGTCCAGTAACTGGTGGCGTGACAGGACCTGATGACAATTTGCTGCCTCCCGAACTGGGATCAGGCGGTGGAGAATCTGGCTACACTGGACCAGAGGGTCCTGGATTGACTATCTCTACAGAAGGTAATTATATAGTTTTGTAGAGATTTATATACCAATCGGTTAATTGGTATATATTGAATACTAGGTACATTATAAAAAAAAAATTGTTAAGGTGGTTTGCTGCCTGGAGGACCAACTACCTCGTTGCCAACCTCAGACAATGGAGAACAACCAGCAGGTGGTCTATTCCCAACGCATGCGGCCGGTATTCCGGAAGCACCATCAACAACATTGCAGCCTGGAGGAATCCCTGAAGGTGGCCCAACAACAACATTGCAACCTGGCTATCCAGCACACGCAGGAGGTATCTCAGAAGGTGGTCCAACACCAACCACTTTGCAGCCTGGCTATCCATCACATGCAGGTGGAATTTCTGAAGGGGGTCCAACGACAACATTGCAACCTGGATATCCATCACATGCAGGTGGAATTCCTGAAGGAGGTCCAATAACAACTGGCTATCCAACACATGCAGGTGGAATTCCTGAAGGTGGCCCAACAACAACATTGCAGCCTGGCTATCCATCACATGCAGGTGGAGTTCCTGAAGGAGGTCCAATAACAACTGGGTATCCAACACATGGAGAAAGAATCCCAGAAGGTGGTCCAACAACAACATTGCAGCCTGGCTATCCATCACATGCAGGTGGAATTCCTGAAGGTGGCCCAACAACAACATTCCAGCCTGGCTATCCATCACATGCAGGTGGAGTTCCTGAAGGAGGTCCAATAACAACTGGGTATCCAACACATGAAGAAAGAATCCCAGAAGGTGGTCCAACAACAACATTGCAGCCTGGCTATCCATCACATGCAGGTGGAACTCCTGAAGGAGGTCCAACGACAACACTGCAACCTGGCTATCCATCACATGCAGGTGGAATTCCTGAAGGAGGTCCAATAACAACTGGGTATCCAACACATGGAGGAGGAATCCCTGAAGGAGGTCCAACAACAACATTACAACCTGGCTATCCATCACATGCAGGTGAGATTCCTGAAGGAGGTCCATCGACAACATTGCAACCTGGCTATCCAACACATGCAGGAGGAATTCCTGAAGGCGCTCCAACAACAACTTTGCAACCTGGATATCAAACACATGCTGGAGGAGTTCCTGAAGGAACAACCACATTACAACCAGGATATCCGACACATGCTGCAGGCTTACGAACCACGGAACAACCTGCAACAGCTGGAGTTCATGAAGGTGGGCCCACTTCAGAACAGCCTGTCTTTCCCACTCATGCTGCAGGGTTACCGACTACAAAACAACCCGAGGAAGAAGTTCCAACTGGAGTAGAAGGTGCTTCAACAACAGCAAATCTAATTCCAGAAGGCACAGGAGTAGGAGTTTCAATTCATACAGGCATTCAAACTACAAGTCAACCTGAAGGATCTGTAGGACCTGATCATGCGCAGCCCAGTATTGCTCCAGAAGGTAAAATGCACCATTAGAGATTTTGATTTAAAAATGTTTTTTGGTATTTTAGGCACAAGCCAACCTTCACATGAAGGTACTACAGCTGCTGGACTGCCAGAATCTACTCCAGGTGTTCATTATTCTCTTCAACCTGGTGATCAAACTGGCACTAGTTTACAACCAGGACCTGAAGCAGGTTAGTAGCTGATTTTCAATTTATTTTCTTGGCATTCTGTATGAAACTCTATCTCTATTATCTACAGTTTGTCTATTGTTCTGACTAGAGGTTGTAAACATAGTTGTATGAAGGTATTTGTAGTATAGGTGTTGGCGAGGGTATACGTATATATATAATATGTAACAAACCGGCCTAAAAGTCCTTTTTTTTCTCTTTGCTTCGTAATACAATTAATTCGTTTCTTTTACCAGTTAGATTAAATTGCCAAATTTCTGACGAAACTGTACCAAGAGCCAAGGGTTATCAGTCGGTTTCGAAAAGAATGCTTCTTTGATTTATTCTGACAACCGATTCCTCTCAAAACAGTTAGAATCCAACTACGTACAGCTCGGGTAGCAAGAACCTGGACTAATAAGGGCAACCGAATCAGTTACATAAAATTAACTTGTTGCGATTTACCGAGAATTTCAGTGGGACTTTAATCACAGCCCCTGGTGGCACGCTACCGCAGTACGAGAAAAGGCCTTTATTAGTCCTAAAACAAAGTCAACCTTACTCGCATGTCATATCCAGGTGGCGGCGCGGCGGTAACAAATATATGAGGTGATTGTTTATACCAGTTTTGTCATTTAAGAGTTTTAGGTGGAAATAAGTGATGCTCCAGTTTTGATTTATTACGACCCTTCTCAACCAATAATTTCATCAACTGATGTCAGTATGGATTAGGTGGCTACATTAGTCAGAATCGCCCTATTGCATATTGGTACATGTCACTTAATTCTGCTCAGAGAAATTATGCACAAATAGAAAAAGAGTTATTGAGTATAGTTTTGGGCAGTGAGCATTTTCATTTCGTTCCGCAATAATCCACTTATTTGTACTTTATTATATAAAGTCAAAATTTGTAAGATTATTTACTTTTTGTCAATTTGCCTTTCATCAGGAATTAGTAATTTTACTTTACCAAACTAGTAACATAATGTGACAAGATATTCAAGTACAAACGAGTGGATTGTTGCGGAACTTTTGGGTGAACCTCTGCGGGACGAGCGTAGCGAGTTCCGCAGCCATCTATTCATCAATATGTTGCTCAAGTACAACACTAACTTGATTAACTCAGTTGTAAGTTTTTCTCATTAGTTCAAAAACTACATTTAGATGAATGTTATAGGTTATAGGTAACAGTTCAACAGTATATTAGTGAGTAGATGGCTGCGGAACTCGCTGCGCTCGTGCCGCAGAGGTCCACCCATAAGTTCCGCAATAATCCACTTATTTGTACAGTGTTTTTTTATATATTTACACCCCACCTACAGCCTTTACCTTTACAGTTAGAAGAAAAGTGTATAAAACGGATATATAGAAAAACACCCGGTATACCCAAGCAGTTTCTTGAATCACCATCTGAAATGTTAATGGGAAGAAAGTTTAGAACCGACTTACTTTGCTCAAGGAACAAATTACAACCAAAATTTAATACTGAACAACATATTGAAATGTTACATGTAAATCAAGAATGAGATCAGCACTACTATTTTTAGGGAGGACATGTTAAATAATTATTATAAACACGTTGTGAAACATATTTAATTCCTTCAATTAGTTTATTATCTACTATCACATCATTACAATAATGTTATAACGTGGGTCTAGCCTTTGGCCAGCCAAGCATGGGATGCTAGTGAGACTGCGCCAGCTACTTTATACGTGTAAATCGGCCTTTATGTTATCGTTATCTTATGAGAGAAAGATTCCCAGGAGTAATTTATAGGGTTTTCTACTATATATCATTGTCACAGTCTTTTACTTTTCTCATGTATTGCATTTACGTACTTCTCACTCTGTTACAATGACAAAAATGTCCTTAAAATCAACCATTTTCAGGTTCCACACATTCTCCTCAAGAAATTCCTGCTGGCGAAGAAACACCAGCTCCTGTCCCTGAAGGAACTCCATCAGCTTCAGAAGGAACTCCTGGATCAGAACCAGTACCTGAAGAACCATCTGCTGGTCCAAGCACATTGGTCCCTAGTGGCTTTACTACTTCAACCACAGAAGCTCCAAGCGAAACTGAAAAAGCTGGAGAAGATGTTTTATCAGTTACTAACCAAGACACAACTATTAGCCCTGAAGCAAACACCATTCCAGGAAAAACATCGCCCATTGATGATGATGATCTAAAACATCCTCCACACATTCACGCTATTGATGTTCAATGCGGTAAAGAAAGGATGACCATCAACATTGAATTCAACAGAGAGTTTAACGGTGTTATCTACTCTAAAGGCTTCTTTAATACACCCGAGTGCAGATACGTTCAAGAGAACTCGGGACAAACCAAATATACCTTCACAGTCAACTTGGACATGTGCGGGACTCAATTTGTTAACGGTTTTGACTCTGAAAATCAATCATATTTGGAAAACGTTTTAGTATTGCAAAACGAAGCTGGCATTCAAGAAGTTTGGGACACTGTCAGATCGGTCAGATGTCTGTGGGAAGGCAACCTTAAGGACAGCTTAAGCGTTGCACTCAGCGTTGACATGCTAAGCCAAGAAATAGTAACCTTTAGTGGCGACACTGCCATGGCTAAATTAGATGTAGTACTTGGCAGAGGACCATTTGGAGAACCAGCTAATGGGTTGGTTAAAATTGGAGAACAAATGACATTAGTTGTTTCGGTAACTGGAGATCCTGCGTTTGATTTGCAAGTGAAAGATTGCAGAGCAGTTGATGCGGAAAACAAAAATACTATAGCCCTTACAGATGAAGATGGTTGTGTATTGAAACCGAAATTGTTTGGAGCTTTCCAGAAAACCAAAGAAACTGGGGACAGTGGAGCATCTATAATCGCTTACGCGTATTTGAATGCCTTCAAATTCCCTGATCAAATGGATTTGATGATTGAATGTAATATTGAATTGTGTAAAAATGACTGCGATATGTGCACAAAAGAAGATCAGGTATTAGAGCCATCTAAAAGGCGTAAGAGGAGAGATGTTTCTAATTCGACTATTACCGGCGATTGGGTTACGATGGGTAAATTGGTAAGGGTAATTTTGCCAGAAGAGCTCAACAAGCAAACCGCTTTAGAAGTCACTGCCAGAGACCACATATGCATGTCGATACAAGGTTTTGTGTTCTCAACTGCCATTTTAGTTTCTTTGTTGGTATTAAGTAGCTTTACTTGTGTGTGTTTGTGGATGAAGAGGAAAGAAAAAGTGTACCTTAAGTATTAGTATTAGGATCTAAGCGATATTTTGTACATTTTTGTATTTAAAGCTTCCTGAATAATCATGTAAACCTATACCTACTCAATTTCATTTTAAAATGCTAATTCTTGTCCTGAGGTTTACACTATCAAAAGATTTGGAACAAACTCCTATTTTTACCTTCTAGAAAAATGTGATGTCGCCTAAAAACGGCACAGTTTGTCTATAAACCTGCCAATATAAGTTAACTGTTCGTTACCACTAATTTATTTTATCCTTGATTGCTTTTATATCACCCATCAGTGCATTGAAAGTTCACATTAGACTAAAAATTTCTCTGATAAAAAGTTTAAGTTATATTTAATGTTATAATTAAGGAAAAATTGTATAAAATTATTGTAATATTTTGTAGTAAAAGGGGTGTAAATAAATGATTTTTGAAAATTTAGTTTTGGAAGTTTCTTTTCATTTATTTGAATTAAATAGGACATGAAGTTTTTGGAACACCACAACGTTGAACAAAGCTACTTTATTTTGGATTTTCCAACAAAAAAGTCACTAGAAATAACTTTTGTCAGTTAATTCTGATCATAATTGCAGATATGTATTTTCAACCATCCAGTTCAGAAAAAAGTTTAGAAAAGGTAGCACCTGAAAAACTAAATATTATTGAGTCTTTCTGTGATGAGCTCAAAATTTGAACCGAAAAAGTTCTTATAAGTAGGTACTCGTTCTTGTTGAACCAGAAAAAAATCCAGTGGGCTTAGATCTGGGGATTGTGCTGGCTAATGTATGCAACTTATTCAATCAATGTGGAGAATTTGGGAAATTTTCTCCTGCCAAATATACACTAAAATAAAAACTTTCAGAATTAAATGCATATACGTACAAATTCCAGTTGTGCGTATAGTTGTTTTGCCAAGTTTAATTAATATATTCCAATTCTCGTCCAAGGCCAGCAAGCTTTTATCTTTTACAAGATACTGAATAACAAAACTCTGTTTCGCATATAACGTACCTACATTTACGCACTCATTTTTAGATTTCAAGAAAATCAGATAAATTGAAAATCTTTTGAAAAACATTTTAGCTTTTTAGTGTTCTAAGTGCAGGCGCATGTGAGATAAGTCTAAATATGGACGTTGAAAGTACTAGCAGGGCATCAAGGTTAGTGATTTGTGGCTTAAAAATTGATAATAGTGCAGATTATTTTTCATTAATGGAGTGTTAATTTGTTAATTTCAACGTAGAACTTTTACTTCGTTGTTATTATCAACAACAGGTAATTAAATCAATTACTGACCATGAATTATTCACTTTTCTTAAACCTGTTGAGCTTCAAAACTGACTTTCAAATTACGATTTTTCTGAATTATTTATTATTTAGATCCAATAAACGAAAAACCTTTAAAATGGACTGGGAAATTGCTGAAAATGACGAATGGAATCAGTATTTTCAAAATGCCTTACAAGTTGATTCTAGGCTGGATTATAAGGAAAATAGTACTTGCTATAATTACTCAGGTAATTTTTCTTGTAAATAGATTTTGATTGAAAATAAATGTCCATTAATTTCAGAAAATGGCATCGAATTCGAAGTAACCGAACAAGAAAGACAACGTTACATTTCATTTTTATCTAAAATACCAGAACTCTACACAAAATTACAATGCTGGCCAAATAATGACCAAAAACTTACAGCACTATCAATAGCTGCATACGTATCGCAAAACGAAAAAATATTTGTACAATTAAACTCTAGCGGTACTTATAAAGCTTTAGTGCAGATGGCCGAAACAGCAAAAAGTACTACAAGTAGTACCGTAAAGGTCAGATACATGGACATGCTTTGCTCAGTATTTGAACATGATGCTGGCCTCAGATGGTCTTTGGAAAATAAATATTGGATGGAGATTTACGATTTGGTTGTTCAGTGTCAGAGGAATGGTTGTGAATTGGCTGAGAAAATGTAGGAGACCAATTAAATAATAAATAAAACCTATTTCAATCAATTATTTCCAGGTATACTCTTTTAACGAAATTCCTTCAAAACACCACAAGAAAAGCCCCAAAAGTTTGCGTCTACGTCATCAAACAAATGACTCATACCTTAATAAGCATAGCTCACAAAAATTACACAAAAACCAAGAAGCAACCCTCAGACCTTTTACTACCAAATGAATACAAAACTCTATCAGCAACTCTACCATGCTTGGTCGAAATCTTGGAGCGACTTTTAGCATCTCAAACCGCTGAAACTCTAAAATATTTTACCAAGTTACAAGTGCGTGAAGCCTGCGATACTTTAGCAATTCTGTCTGGAGATGGTGATTTTTCGTTGCAACTGAACAGGATTATGGTGATATTGTCGTTTTTTGAAATGACCGAATTGTTTGATGGGATTAAGGTTGTTAAACATGATCCGATAGCTTTGAGTGGATTTCTGAGGATTGTCGATAGGGAATTGAAAAAGGGTAAGTGAGTGTTAAGCGCAGCTAAAATTATCAGCCAAATATTGAAAAATCTAGAAACGCTCATGGTCATTTTTGGAAGATTTTCAATGTTCGATAATTTCAATTTTGAAGCTTCTCACGTGTAAAACTGTTGAAACTAAATCAAAATGTCGATAAATACGATTGTAGAGGGTTTAATTTATTTTAATTAGAGCTCAATTACCTTGAAATTGGACGAAAATTAACGGAGCTGTGAGGCAAAAACTGTCTCAGTGTCATTTTTGGACTTGGTGCAAAACTATTGGAACCAAATTGAAATCTTGATTAATAGGCTTGTAGAGAATTTAATTCGCTCCAATTAGAGCTTAATTACATTGAAATCGAATAAGAATTAACGGAGCTGTGAGGCAAAAACTGTTTCAATGTCATTTTTGGAATTAATGTTCGATAATTTCAATATTGAAGCTTCTCAGATGCAGATAGATATTCACAATAGCTCGGTGATGTGGAAAAATAACTTATTCAATCCATTTCAGAGCATTTGGAGGCGATTTTCGAGCTGTATTACTACGCCCAAAAATACTGGAAAAACGTATCGAGCAAAATGCCTCAGTATTTCCTGAAAGGCAAACCTGTCGATATCGAAGACGAGCTTATGTCGTTCCAAGTCGAACCTTTGGTAATAATCGGCGAAAAAATACTTGGAGTGCCTCAAACTAGCGAAGAAGAACTAAGAAAATGCTATTTATCAGATTTGTTGAATATTTATAGCGCAGATTGCCTGCAATTAGGTAAGATATAACATCACTTGAAAGTATTACCAAGTTAAACTCGGAGATTTTAGTTATACAATGACGATTTCAGGCTACGAAATACGCAAATTACTAAACAAAGTACCACTAAAATGCGAAATTACTGCACTGAAATGCCTCATCAAATCTAAGCCGCTGTATAGTCGACAAAATTTGGCTTTAGTGTTTCAATCTTTGACCTATTCTCTTCGAGATTTTATTAAATATGTTAAAAGAAATCCAGAATTAGGACAATTGGAAGGTGATCAATCTTTAGCTGAAGCTCTATTGGATGCAATTCTTGTATATTTGGAAAATTTCGATTTGTCTTGGAGAGAAACTATAGGAAGCATCGAACTGACCAATTTGGTTCATAATTTTTTATATTATTCAACCAGATGGACACCAGAGGTAATAGTTTGCTTTTAACCGACTAAAACTAAAAAACAATTTGTTTTTAGGTAGTTTTAAAAGCCCTCAAAGCTTTGAACATTACAATAACAAAGAACATGACACCGAGTATGGCCTTGTTAGTTGACAATGTTCCAAATTCAACTATACTTGATTTGGGGAGTATGCTTTTTAATAAATGCTTCAGCAATGATCCTAAGGTGCGAGATGCTGCATTGACTGTTACTTGTACAATATGCCAAAAGGTGAATAAAGGTAACTATTGAGTATATTACCAACATTGAGCACATTTAGGTATTGCAGCTCAATTTGATCCATTTTAGTCAAGCTGGATCTTTAATCTTGATTCATCATAGACTGATTTTGGTCTTTACCAGACCACACTTCAGACTAATTTCTGGAGAATCTCCCTTCACACTTGTAGGGTTAATTCACTTAACATCTTGACTATAGTTTTGTTTGCTTCAATTTTTTTGAGAAATTTCTGTGAAGCTGATTTCATTCAGATTATCGGCCCCCACTGAGGTGTTTCTAGGCTTCATGTCATTGCTGATAAAATTTCCACAGAGGTATTTTTGATACAAAAACAAACAAATCATGCATCGATTTTTTTTTCCAGGTTTTACTTCATTCAAAGTAATCTTACTTGAATCATTAAATCAACATTTAATATTGAATATGGCATTGACCGATTATGATCCATGGGTACGTGCGACAGCTCTCAAATGCCTTCAAGAAATGATAGTGATGGAGGAACTAGGTGGTACTTTACTCAATTCAGATTTCATTGTGAGTAAATATCACATTTCTTAAACATACATACAAAAATTGATCTATTTTAGGACAAAATTCTTCAATTGGTATCCAAAGAACAAGAACCGATGGTTCTGAGAGAAGCCCTGACACTTATACGACAGATTTACCAATGCGAATTCAATAGTGAAACGGATAATTTCAAAATTTATCAAGTGATAACAAAAGTGGCACTGAGAGAGAAAAATCCAGATGTGCAAGAGCAAGCGGTCAAATTTTGGGACAACGTTATAAGGAAGTGTTTGGAGAAACAAGGTAAATTGCAAATTGATGTTTTCTGATAACAGCAGAGCATTTTTCTTTAGGCATGTTTGATGATGTTTTCCCAAGTGTTATTTTTTCGAAAGAGCTGAAAAAAATTATTAGATTGGATGATAAGGAAATCCGTAAAAGACTGTGTCAAACGTTGGATTACATGTCAAAGAGAGGTTGTTTTAGTATTTTCCAGCAAATTTTGGAAAACGAAAACACGCCGAAACAAGTGTTTAGTACCACAGTTGGAATTATTACTAAACTATTAAGGTTATTACAACAGTATGAGGTAAGATTTGGCTTCAACATTCTCAATATTGAAATAACTGATTTTGTTAAAAAAAGCAAAAACACTCTCGAAATTTAGCAAGTCCAATGTATAAAATTAGAGCCGCTGTACTGCATGCATTCTCCTATAATCAGACTTTGGTAATTTAGAAATTATAATACTTTAGATAATTGCAGCTAAATATCCCTGAAATGAGAAAAGATAACAAGATGCGGTTTGTTCTTAGAGAATAGGAATTTTTTCACATTGCGTTATCTTTTCCCGTTTTCAAAATATCAGTCAGTCAGTTTAACTAAGGACACCCTGTATACATATATAAATCCTTCACTTAGTTAACAACTGATAATATCCAAGTTGTTTTTGTTTTTACAAATCTAAAATTCACATTTAATATGTTTATAGGTAACTCCCGAATTTATACTATTCAATCAGACTTACCCAAATCTTTGGTCGGTCCAAAGTAATACTATTCAGTCACCTTCGAACATTGAGGATGACCACAGCATGCAGGAACTTGTCGAGGAAACAGTCATGGAGATGATAAATGGCCGTTTATCGTTTAATCAAATGGTAGGTAAGATTCTTGATTTTCCCAGCAAATATTCAAACCAACGAATTCAAAATGATGTGCTTCATAATCCTAAATTTTTCAGACACTTATGGGATCAGGCGCTTTTACTCCAGAAAGAGATTCGGAACGTTCATTCGGGCAAGTCAGCACTGTAGATTTCATGGATTTTATTTATAGGAAATTGCCGTACCTTACTAACATAGAAGTTTAGAGCAAAATAAAGATTATTTATTAAAATGTGTTTCATTTAAATCACCTCCTCTACAAGACTCCATAGTCTTTTTACCCACTCAAAAATAATTAATTGGAATACTTAATAATATTAAATTTATTAACATATTTTATGTCCTCAATACAAAGAAAATATAAAAAAATATATTTCATCATGCACCTAATATCACTAAAATGTCGGTTAAATTATTATATTATATTAAATATACCCAGTTTAACTTTAAATCAACTAAATACCCAGTGCCACCCAGTGCAGTTTACATTTTTCCACACCTAAATTAACTTTATACACATTACTAAGAAGACCACATATAAAAGTAATTGCTTTGCCAAAACGGTAAATATTGCATCAAAGGGTTGCAAATTATTCTAACAAGCGGAATATTGTTACTGAGTGCAGCTAAAAATGCATTTATTTTATTTTCACTATAGTTTTCATAAACCGGAGACCGAATTAGATATAATAAAAGAAGCATTGTCCTTTTGGACAACTGTAATTTTTGCTTCTTCGTCAAGGAATCTAAGGCATGTTTGTTTTTCTGTGTTGATTTGTATAGTTGAAGACTAAAAAGAGAATTTTATTTTATTAATAATTTAATTTAAATATTGATAAGAAGATCACCTGGCTAAATCCATAGCTAATGAAATCATCCAAGGCTTCCAAGCTTTCGTTCCAAATACACCCATAGACAATAAATGCACTAGAGGTTTTGTTATATAAATTGTTTCAGCTACGAGTTGCCTTTTAGCTAAACTACCTTGACTAGTTTCTTTATTTTCTGTGACATCTCCATTAATTTCTAGAGGCTTCCACGTTCTTGAACCTATTTTGAATTAATATGCATACACACAATAAAATTATTTTTACCTAATGGTGGTGAAGATTCCACTTTCCTAATAACTCGTCCTGATCTTTTCAATGTAAAAGAAACTGACTTGAATTCAGTCTGGCCTAAATCAACAAATTTATTTCCATTTTTGTTAACTAATTTGCCCCTTTCTAGTGGTGGTAAAGGAGGATTCTCTATGGTTGCCTCTTTATGCTTATAGACAAGCATTAGCCTTGCTATACACCTTTAAATTTGCAAGTTAATTGATAAAATAACATTAATAAAATATCGTCATACTTGAAAGCTTGTATAGCAACAATCACAATCCATCTTCCACGGTTGCCCCATATTTTTTGCACGGAAAGTTCGCAAAATACTTCAGAATATTCCACTATTGCCAGCCAAAGTTTGATTTCATCTACCTTTGATTTTACAGTAATTTGAAGGCTTTTTCTAATAATGCCATCGTTAAATAATACTAATAGGTTTGATAAGCAATAGACAAGCTCGGAGACTACATGTGAATTGTTTATTCGTCCTGAAATGTTTGATTGTTGTGGAAAACCAGGTTTTTGGGTGAACATCTTAAATCTCACCTGTGATAAAGTACGAAATCCATTTGGCGCTGGTTTCATAATCGCTGGCCATTTGTGGGTTTTTGCTTACCCATTTTTTGTAGGAATTTAACAGTTCTGGTAACGAGAACAGGATAGAGCTCATTTTTAACTGAAGTATAAAGTTGCTCTATGAGATTTGAGATTGAAGTGAATGTTGTTCAAACGAGGAAATAAGTGCAATAGCAAAATATTCCTGAACTAGTATGATTCGACCAAGAGTCTCAACACTTGAAACTCACTATAGATAAAAATCTGATCCTTTTCTGGATGATCTACCACAAAAATATATCCAACAAACCACTTTTGAGTTTTGAGCTTCTTGACTTTTGAATTGAAGCCAGCTGATTACTGTCAAAATTGTCTCGATATCGAATACGACACACGAGCATTCCAGCCGCTTTCCAGTATGGGAGTGTGACGCCCGGAGCTACTCGGGGCGTTGAGCCCCCGAGCTGTACGTACGCGTCACCTATCAGCTGTCACATCTGTGGGTGGCTATTTATCTATTTATTTCTTGTTATATCTCAAGATTGAACATTTTAAAATATATAGTTTTGATTCTCTTTCATTTTTGACAAATAAAAAAACAAACTGCACAAACAAACAGATAATTATTTTTAAAATTTGACATATTTGACACTAAGACAGTCGTCTCACGCCAATGTGAATACTGGAAAGCGGCTCAGTATGCACATGGCGCGCTCCGCGCTCTAGAGCACCTCGGGGGCGCCACGCACTAGATTTGTACCGTTCCAGTATCATGGCGTGAGACGCCTGTCTTAGCTTAGTGTCGAATATGTCAAATTTTAAAAATAATTATTTTGTGTGTGCAGTTTGTTTTTTTATTTATCAAAAATGAAAGAGAATCAAAACTATATTTTGAAAATGTTCAATCCCGAGATATAACAAGAAATAAATAAATAAATGGCCACCCACGGATTTGACAGCTGACAGGTCGACGCGTACGTACAGCTCGGGAGCTCAACGCACTGAGTAGCTCCGAGCGTCACACTCCCATACTGGAAAGCGGCTATGGGGGGCGGATTACGAACTCTCGATTCGAACCGAAACCGCCATGTACACCGAAATCTTGATTTCGAACGCACTCCATGCGAATGCATTTCGACTGGTCGATGCGTATTCACTTTCGTATCGAGTGTCCGTTTCGAGTCTTGTTTTCGCAATCTCCCCGCAGCTCCGGACTGTGTAATCAATCAACGGTAATAGGTATTGATAAATCGGAAAATAATCGCTATTTTGACAATTTGATACGAATTTCGACTCGACTCCTAAAATAGAACCCGGCAGCAAGGATGATACACACTACCACTACAGGATGGCCTATCTTCATAAGGTCTGTGTGTAACAAACCCCCCCCCCCTTCGGCCACTTTCCCATCAAGTTCCCGCTATGCCAAAATACGTGACGTAAGCAGCATGTTATTTCTCGCCTTGACGTAGGCTGCTTAAGCAGCTGACGACTTAAGCCGCTTTCCAGCTGTGTGCTTCAAGTACGGTGCAGCACAGTGTTCTGTGTTTGAAACAAAAAAGCTCGCAGCTCTCGAAGTGCAGCACGGCTGGAACACGATCACGCGCTAGAAGCATTTGCGCGCGCAAAAGCTCAGCTGGAAAGCGGCTTTAGTTATGAGGTCGGAAATGGTAACACACCAATATGGCGGCGATTATCAAAAACGAGGCAGATAATAAGCACTCTGGGCTGGTCATTTTGGATTGGTCGATTTTGAACGTGTGGAGCGAGGAGTAGTAACATGGAGTTAGAAAATGAAGCCGTTTTTTTCCATGCATTTTGGCACCAAAAAAATGGCGATATAGGCAATTAGGCAATTCAAACCACGTGACATTCAAGATGGCGTGGCGGCCACACATGGGCCCAAAAACACAAAACAATATCTAGTTTCTGCCGGAATTGATAGTTCAGGTACCTAGTCAACAAATATTTTATTAAATAATGAAAATCAAAGTTGTAAGCAAAACTGTATGCAAAATAATTTAAAATACGCATAGAAACATAACCAAAACAAACTTGCTTGGCCGCCACGTCACATTGAATTTTCCGTTTTGACAGATGGATTGAATTGCCTAATTCAATGCTTCACCTGTATTTTGGTGCCAAGCACCTGCCAAAAACTTGGCTTCACTTCAGTTTCATAAGCAGAATGGCGCGTTCCTACTCCTTATATCCATAGGACAGCGCTTTACCTGCTCTAAGTGTGAAGCCGATAGGGGTCATCCAACATGTTCCGTTATCAACTGCCAGTACTGGCTACTGGCTTTTACTGTGCTGATTTTACTGTCATTTTGCCGTAGACCTGACAGTTGATATCGGAACATAGTCATAAGCTTACTTTTCATGCATCATCAGGGCCGAGTTCAGAAATAACGCACAGGGTGCGAGTGCGATTTGAGTGTGCCTGAATTGACAATTGGCCATTGGGCCCATAGCACTGTCTAGCATTTTTGAACAGCTAGGGCGTCGCACCGGTGTCACACTCACACTGGGTGTGTCATTCCTGAACTCGCCCCAGTGTTGCCATAGGTGGCCCCATATGGCCAGATCTGGCCCTTTCTAAGATAGAGTGGCCCGTTGGCCACTCTTTTTCGAATCTGGCCCGTTTCTCCATAACAAGCCAATTTGATGCAAAATAAACGCTCTAGGGCGTGGCATCCGAAAAAAGGTTTGCCCGAAATTCTGAAATCTGGCCCCTTTCAAAAATATAATCTGGCACGAAATTTTCAGAGCCTGTGGCATCACTGTGCATCATGCATCCGTTTTTCCGTCAGTTCGTTGATCGTTGATCCGGAAGTATTAAGCCGGAGTCTCATGATCCGTTTTCCGACGTTTTATGTCCAAAAAACCTATTCTGTCATAATTGAATGAAAATATGTCATAATAGAAGGTTTTCCGGACATAAAACGTCGGAAAACGGATGCATGAGACTCCGGCTTTAGTACTGGTCCAATATTTTAGCGCCAAAAAAATTGGACCAATAGAACTACTTCCGGATCAACGAATTGACGGAAAAACGGATGCATGAAAGGTAAGCTTAAAGCCCTAAAGCCTAGTACTCATAACCGCGAAATTCGCACTTTTTGACGACAGTGTTTCGACAATTTGACGTTTGATTCAGGCATAACGTCGAATTGTCGAAGCTGTCAGGAAAGAGCGAATTTCGCTGTTATGAGTACTAGGCTTTAGAGTACTAGGCTTTAGGGCTTTAAGCTTACTTTTCATGCATCCGTTTTTCCGTTGATCCGGAAGTATTCCTATTGGTCCAATATTTTCGCGCCAAAATATCGGACCAATAAATAGGAATACTCCCGGATCAACGGAAAAACGGATGCATGAAAAGTAAGCTTTAAGCCTAGTACTCATAACACCGAATTGCGGATTTTTATTTCGCGGATCTTTTTCTATTGGTCAAATATATTTAAACCTGTCAAATTTAAATATAATCGACCAATAGGAAAAATCTGCAAAATGAAAATCCGCAATTCGCGGATATGAGTACTATGCTTATGTATGAGCTCTGTTCTCGCACACTTTAATGACTGAGTTCGACTTTGCACTCTATGAACTCTGAGGGCGCGTTATGTTCCAGTAATCACGTTCTTTCGCATTTTGATATTTGACAGTTAGCGAATCAGGATCCGAGATATTCCGAAAAAATTGAACATTTTTTTTTTTTGTGATTAGTTTGTTCCTGTTGATATCGGAACATAGCCAATATCGGAACGGCGTCCAGTAAATTCAGTACTGACAGTTGGTATCGGAACATAGCCGTTGTCTTGTCAGTGGAAACTTGGAAAGTAGCACTTAACCGCAAACATGCGCATAATTTGCGGTAAAGTTACTCGACCGCATATATAGTTTGCGGTAAAGTACCTAGACTGCAACGCGTGCGGTAATAGTTATTTACCTAACAAATGCGGAAAGTGATACTTTACCGCACACAACGGCAGTTGACCGAACGACGCGAAGCGGAGTTCGGTCAAGCCGTTAAGGGCGGTAAAGGCACTTTCCGCATGTGTTAGGTACAAAATTTTACCTATGAGCATCTACATCTCCAAAAAAGGGCATTGATAAAATTAATTATTGAATCAGATTAATGAATGAAATTAGATTAGATTTAGAAATTATCAAAAATCCATTTTCTGGAAAAAAAAGGATTTTTGATTATAAATATCAAATTCTACTTTACCGCACACTATACGGTAAAGTACACTTTACCGCACATTTTGTAGTCCACTTTACCGCATACTATGCTGTAAAGTTCACTTTACCGCACACTATGCTGTAAAGTTAACTTTACCGCATAGTGTGGGGTAAAGTGCTACTTTCCATTTGCAAATACGTGCGGTAAAGTGCACTCTACCGCACGCTCGTAGGTAAAGTTACTTTACCTTATTGTGTGCGGTAAAGTAGACTTTGGTATTCATAAAATAAACACAATTCCCTTATTTCTCTGTCAGAAATTTCAATAATGCCTTTTTTTGGCGATGTAGATGCTCATTATTAGGTAAAATTTTGTAGGTACATAACACTTGCGGAAAGTGCCTTTACCGCCTTGACTAGTCAACTATCTTGCGTGCGGTAGAGTACCACTTTTCTCATTTGCTAGGTAAATAACTACATATACATATATTATTAACTACATATACATATCGAGTCTTCAGAAAAAAAAAAACAATCAAAGGTTGCTATGGGTTTTTAAACGTATGTCTCAGCAATATTTTTCTTTAATTTTGTCAATGAAATTAAATGTCAAAAATCTTGACCAATAAAGAAACAGTAATGCGACGTACGTTTTCGTGATCAAAGCAATCTTTGATTGGTTTTTTTTTCTGAAGACCCGATATATCGGGTCTTCAAAAAAAAAACAATCAAAGATTGCTTTGGTTACGAAAACGTACGTCGCATTATTGTTTGTTTATTGGTCAGGACTTTTGACATGACATTTTGACATTAAATTTCATTGACTGACATTGTCAAAATTAAAGAAAAATATTACTAAGACCTACACGTTCAAAAAACCATAGCAATCTTTGATTGGTTTTTTTTTTGAAGACCCGATATTATCATCATTATCATATACCTTCGTTAATTCATTCGTTTTTCCATGGAAGTTTCTATAAGTTACTTGAGTTGTCTATATCTAAAAAAATAAAGTTGATGATGGTGGCTAAAAGACGAAACGTCAGATTTTAAATTTGAAGCTAGCATCTTGTAGGAGAGAGAATGTAGCTAATCTGTTTTTTAGTTTATCTTCACTTAATTTCTGTAAAATCATATTTTTCCCATTTTTCTTTAGTTCAGACCCTTCTTAACCCGGCATTACACGCGTCAAAAAACTTGCGTCATTACACGCATTCGGTCAAATCGACCGATTGCTCCAAACGTATCCTGAACGCTAAGGCATGACCTACGCAGGTTTACTAATCAATAGAGACATGAAACTTTCAAATATTACCTGCGTAAGTCATGCCTTAGCGTTCAGGATACGTTTGGGATCGTTTCCGCGAAAAAAGTGTACAAGCACTATAATTCCTAGAATTCATAATCATTACAAAGAAAATTATATTATGCAGTACAGTTACCGTATTATCGACAGCCAAAAGTACTCCCAATATCAGAAAATGCCAATTTTGAACACAAATATTTTAGATACTCAGGTTCACGCGCCTAGTCAAAAGCACCGACTATGAAAACAACGAACTATACTTCAACTAAAAACCAAAATATTTATGGGCCATTGGGCAGTGGAAAACCTGCATCAGGCATTCCTGGATGGACAAACCTGCCGCCCTTGTACCATTGGCATAATTACTGATTTTATCAATGGTCGGTCTTTTTGACCGACACGCGTGTACTCCTGGGTTAAATAGTTTTGGATAGGCAAAAACCAACTACATATTACATTTTAAACATCCCTGAAAAAGTATTCTTGGCAAATGTGAAGTCATCTTGTACATTTTTCTTCAATGTAAGTATGTAGATAGCTTAAGAGCTATCATCATGAAAAATTGGCAGCAGCACTTTCTCAATGTCCTGCTGAAAACCACCAATATATTTCCTAAATAAGTAAAAATATACACATCACAATTATTATTATTATTTGAAACACTTTTTATTATTTTTTTTTTATAAATCAATCTATACATATAATTAATAAGTATTCTATTCCGTGTACACCTTGTAAAGCTGATTAAAATTCGCCTAATAAACATTTATTATGTAGGTATTTTTTTTCAAATATTCATGCTAAAATCACAAAAGAAGAAAATTCTAATAGTGTAAATCAGTGCCTAGAGAACTGTGTGTGATAGAAATTTACAATGGGATTATTTTATTTATTATAATTTACTAGAGAAGATCAAATATTCACTTTATAATATATATCCTATTACCCCCTATACAAGCCAATTATATAAATCATTCTAAAACAATTAAAAGAGAACTATACAGGGCGCTTTATATTTTACTGAATAAGACTGTAAGTGAGTGAGTTAACTTTCTCAAAGGAACCAAAAAAACATTTCAATTATTGCTTTTCTTTAAGCCAGCAAACACTTATATCAGATCAGAACTTAAAAGAAATGCTAATAGTCTATTGAAACAACAAGAATTTTTAATTGTTATTAAAATAAATTTAAACAGTTAACCAAACATAAAAAAAAAACTCCCAATTTTTTCTTCATTCAATTCAAATGGAAACCTTTTTCTTTTGTTGCTGCCAACAGTCTCTCTCTTAGTATCTCCTCTGTAGAATAATCAGGCAGTTTCAAATAGTGAACGCAAGTGTTAACAGAAGGATAAGAACCTTCACCGGCGTCCACTTTACGTACAATAGTCAGTCGTGGATACAAATTTGCTAAGCCACCTGGTGGCAATGAACTGCAACCAGTTGTAAACTGAAGAAAGGCTTTACGCTCTTCAGCTGTCATGTTTACTAGGACGTTGACGAACCTTTGGAAACCAGGACTGAAAAAGAAAATATAGGAGTTTTAGTGTTAATAGTCAAAACAAAATGTTCACTCACCTCTCTTTAGTATAACCTAATTTTGGCTCAGTATAATTCAATACATCCTCTCTACTCCATTCAGGATTCTGATTACCGCACAGCATCATTTTAACTTCATCAGGACTAAATGCAGCCAACTTTTCCATAGGAAATACCCTGCAAAATCCTTTATTAAACGCCTCCAGTTGTCTGGCCAAACCAACTTCTAAACAATAGTTAATAGTCAATTCCGCATATTCTTCAACATTTTCTATTGTCACTTCAATATCGGCCCCGTTGGGTATCAAATTGACACTATCAAAACCGTAAATTTCTGAACTTGGTAGGTAAGTGAATGTTAAAGCTAAATCTGATAAGGAGACCGGACCTGATGGGTGATTTAAAGACAGGTTTTGGATTTGATGAGTTTTGGCTTCAGGCGATAGAGAGTGGTCTTGCATTATTTTATGTTTTTGCTTAACTAATTCTCTAATTTGTTTGAGGAAAGTGGCTCTAACTGGATCAATATCATACAAATCATCTTCGTTAAGTATATTCGAATACCAGGGTTTCTTTTCTTCCATAAATAGTTTAGGAGGATCAAGTTCTAACTCCTTTTCGCTCTCCTCAGAAATATAACTAGAAGTCATTATATCTTCTTCTATAGTTTTTTTAGTACTAGAAAATCCAATTCGTTCGTTTACTGTATTCAAAATCTCGCCGTGGCACATCAATTTCAAAAAGCCTTTACTCAGAGGCAAATCGACTAGTCTATTATCTTGTAAAACTTTTGCTAAAAACACACCAAGGAACCAAAAGTACTTAACAGCCTTATCACAGACTTCAGAATTTTGAGGCAAAGGCGCCAAAAACAATCCAGAAATTCTTCTCACATAATAATTTGGCGGTTTCGCATTATCACTGGTTAAATCAATACTATGAGCTTCATTATTTAATAAGTCATCACAGATCCACATACACAAATCGCGCCTTTGCAACTCGGCAGCAACTAAAGCGTAAAACTCCAACGTAGGTCCCAATCCCGTACCTTCTTCGCCTACAAACTCAACTTCCAAAACTGACTTTTTCTCCGAGTGAACTTTCATCACTTGCACGGCCCACTCGAGCAACTCTTCGCCCCTCGGCACTTTGACTCTTTCGTGTTTCAGCCTGCCAACGCGAAATTCGTGATGGGGATCGTCTCTTCTGGGAGATAAACCGGGTGTTCTTTGACGTTCTATAGTGACGTCCCGTTGGGTTTGGAGCCAAACTATACTTCTAGATGCTCCGAAAGCTGTACAATTGAAGTATAATTGGCGAGTTTCGAAGGGGAATAAAAAGGGGCAGGAGTGGTTTAGTTCTTCGCACCAAGCGGGCAAACTGGCACTAGAGAGTACTAGTGGATCTTGTATTTGCTGGAAAATAGAAAAGAGAAATTTTGTGATAAGATATTAATAATAATAAAGTAAAATGATATAATCTGACTTCACTTTGCAGATCAACTAAATAAGTCATGCCTTAGGTAATTTTCCAAATATAAGTATTTCTGGATCACTTTATTATCAGACCTACTTTTTCACGTGGAATCAAAACGACAGTTTTTGATGATCGTAGAAACCTCTTAAGAGACAGTGACTTACAAAACATCCCACCAAACAAAATTATGTATACCCAAGATCTAGATGAGTTGGTCATAATATCCCAGGGAAAATTCAACCATACAGTTAGAGATGGCATGCAGCAGGCTTTAACAATGGTCTCTAGGTGGACAGAGACTGTACAGTTGAAAATTAGTGCCATCAAATCGACAATTGTCCCTTTTACCAAAAGAAGAAAAATGGAGGGACTTGAACCTCTTTACCTTCAGGGAAACCCAATCATAGATTCAAAATTAACTTGGAACAAACATCTGGACAGAGTAATTAAAAGATCAGAACTGGTACTTATACTAGCCAGGAGAACGTTTGGAAAAACCTGGGGACTGCGGCTGGACATGATGTACTGGCTATACACAACGGTTGTAAAACCAGCAATAACCTATGCGTCTTTGATATGGTGGACAAAGACACAACAAGACAGAGTCAGAATAAGACTTGGCAGGGTGCAAAGACTTGCCTGTCTGGGTATTACAGGGTGCATGAAAAGAACACCAACAGCAGCACACAAGGATGGGTTTCCACAGATAACGAAACAACGAAACAACCTGAGCAACCTAACAGTCAGATCAGGCCACACACAAATAAGGGAAATCATAAATCTGACAGTATTCGACATGATAACTGACTATGCCCTTCCTAAATACTCACTCGACATATCCTTCCAAGTCCTAATTAGTGAAAGAGAGGAATAGGAAAACCAGCATGCGCTTTCCAATCTCAAAGAGCAGACCTGGTACTCGGACGGGTCAAAGACTAAGAATGGTACAGGCGCAGGAATCTACAGTCAAGAAGGAAGATACGAGACCTTCTTCTCTCTAGGGTCACATATTGTTTGCCCAGCGGATCTGAGTCTACGGAAGGAATTCGGATGTAAATGTGCCATGTTGCCACGTTTAATTATAAAAAAGCGAAAATACTAGGCATAAAGTATAGTTCATTTGAAATCCATTTTTTAATAACAAAATATTGATAACAATGATAAAACGCTAAATATTTTAACCTGGTTGTTAGATCTATCCTTATTTTAATCCTGATTTCTTCAATTTGGTCTTTTGTAAAAAATAAACATTTTCTAAAGATACCATCAGCTTTTGACTATTTGGCAAGCATCCGGCCTGGATGAACCTGATTGGTGGAGTTTTTGGCAGGATCGCCGTTGCCATGGGCAACCATACGGTTGTCAATGAACTAACGTCACCTTACGTCTCGCTATTGGCCAGGGCTCTTGTCATTTTATCCTTCTATTTTGAAATATCGTTTATATTGAAATATCCAGTGGCGGAGGTTTGGTTATTGCCGATTGTCGTGTACGAGTTGCAATACGATAACACTTCCAAAAAGTTCCGCACGCAGCTGGGTATTTTATGAATGACATCAGCCATTTTTTTTTACAACTGCATTTCCCTCACCGTTGCCCCGTAGACACAGAGTCGCTGGGCAGACATTACATCTGTTTTCCAGGCAGAGGTATATGCAATACTACAATTAGCAAGAATCAACAATATGAGGGCCTGGAAAAACAGGAGAATCACTTAATTCACAAATAGTTAGGCAACACTGAGGGCATTGAAAAACCCTAAAGTAAACTCTGCACTGGTAATAGAATGCTGAGAAGAACTCAACAACTTGGCGGACCAAAATAACGTCACATTGATGTGGGTGCCAGGACATAGGGGAATCCCAGACAACGAAAAAGCTGACGAACTTGCACGCAGGGGGTCATCCACAGAATACCTTGGTCTCAAACCAACTCTCGGAATGGGTCAAAACAAAACATCCTCAATACTGGAAGCAAATACTCAAGCATGCACATGGGAAAATCTTTATATGTGAGACATGCAGCAAAAGAGCAAAAAGACTGCTACAACTAAGCAAGAATCAACTCAAAGTAGCAACCGGCTTTTTTACTGAGCATGCCCCAGTAAAGAAGCACCTGCAAACAATAGGCTTGTACAACGGAGACACGAGCTGCAGACTATGCGGAACAGAGACCGAAACAGCCCAACATTTTATATCAGAATGCGATACACTAACTCGCGCAAGACAAAATATATTTGGAGAGGCTGAACCAGATCCAGACACATAGAGCAAACATTCAACAGACCTACTTTGCCTACTGCAGAGAACCAGGATTTTGGAATGGGTGCAGTAAACAGGAGGATACAGTACAATAATCTGGCTGCAGTGCTACTCGGAGTTTGATAAGACGACTTCTCCACCAAAAAAAAAAAAGAAAAAAAAGATCTAGATAGAATGATTCCTCCATTCTTAAGTGCCAGACTGTAAAATCCTGTTATATACTCTGTCAATAATTTTGATAGCTAAAGAACGCTCTCTACCGTTATTACTTACCTGTAAAAGTTTATTGGTGATTTTCTTGCTAAAATACAGCTCCTGTTTCAATTCAGCATTATCCAGAGTCCTCAAATCGGTTTTGTCATTGCTTGATGTAGTAATGACAAACAAATGTCTCAGGAGCTGCAAAACATCTTCTACCGTACAACTGGATACAGAAGGAGTGCCTGGAACTGGTGTAGACGGAGATAGAGAATTTCCCGCTATCGAGCTCGTTCTGCTGTGCAGTAAAGCTACAGGAGTGGCATGGCCTTCTGAATCGTCTTTGATTTCCTTGTAGACAATCCTGTGGAAAGGATTTTTTTTGGAAAAAATTACCTTATTTTCTTGCAAATTACTTACACATAAGTAGGTTCCCACAATCTCCTTAATTTTTCCTGTTTCGATGGGAACTCTGCCAATTGCATCAGTTCCTGGACAGCTTTAAATATTGTCCACGGAGAGTCGTTCAGTTCAATTTCAACGTCATTTATTCCTGGCATGTTGGGTCCCTTGAGAACCAGCTGTATTTTGGGTTGCGGCAAAAATTCGTGATTTGAAGATGGAGCACTCTCTTCTTGACCTATAATAGATTAGATTAGCAATTTCGATTGAAAAAATTTGAATTGAAAGTTATAACATACCTGGTGCAGGAATATCAAGATCGCTAGTCTGATTAATATTGGTTCTTCCAGGTCGAGGATCAAAGGCAGGAATTAGGGCACTAAATTGCCTTTTTACCACATACTCATCATCCCAGGATCTTCTTTTGGTATTCTGGAGCGGATCAAAACCTTCTTCTTCCATGAAACTTAGTAAATTTCTCGAGACCATAACCTAAACCATTAAACCAATGAAAAAATTTTCACAACCCTGACAATAATAGTTACCTCTTCATAATCTGCATCATCTTCATTCTCGTCGTCATCGTTTTCGTCCTCATTATCACCAATTTCTTCGTCATCGTCCAATTCAGCCAACAAAGTGGGGGCACGGCAGGATTCTAAGAAATCTTCCAAAGAAACTTGCTCACTATCGCTGCTAGTAGACGTTAAACTCATTGTCAAAGCCTGACTTAGACCTTGGACTGCACCTTGAACAAATATTATGTTTACATGATGAAAAATTTCAACTAAATTCATACAGCTTCAAAAAAATCATTTTACCTACCTGCAGTTGTTGATATACTCCCCTGCTGCCCCCTAGTATTATTACTAGACGACAAACTAGGATAACTCTGAGCAGTACTCAATAATCCGCTTGGAAAATTACTAGATAGAGCCAAACGTACTAAACTAGAAACCGAATTGGGAGCTCTAGGAAAAATACACCCGGCTGAAGCGGCAGCGTTTTGATTGTTTTGCGCTTGTGCATTGGACATTTGCTGGGAATTGTTGGAGTTACTGTTTCTACCTGTAGAGTGTGCACTGCCTACTACACTACCGCCTTCTAGTCTTCTGCGTGCCAGAGCCGCAAAGGTTTCTAATAATCCTGCGAAGTTTAAAACTATAATTTAGTTGGTAAGACTGTGTTTACACTAGATTGGTTAGCGTGTATTTTAGAAATAGGTAAAAAGTATTTTGAATTCTTACCTGCAGTTGTAGTAGTTTCAATTTGACTATTCTCTTCGGCGCTGGTGAGATTTGGTACACTAACACTCATTGGGTTGGTGACTATATTTGAATTATTTTTAGCATTATTTGCATTATTAACAGCTTCTTCGTTATCACTACAGCTTAAAGCGCTACTTTTGCTAGCGCCTTCTTCGCCATCGTCTTTCTTTCCTTGCTCTTCACTATTGCTACCGCTGGCTTCTGATTTTACAGAAATCATTACGCCAGCGCCTCCTAGACTCGATAAGTTGTTAATAGTTTGCTGATTCGATTGACTAAAGCTTAAAGCGGTTTGCAGGAATTCAGCAGATAAAAAGTTGTTAGTGTTGTTTCTTAAAACATCAGAGCCTTCACGGATACGATCCAATACTTCCACAGCGTCCACGAAGCTTTGAGCAGCTGCAGCTTGGGCATTACTAATTTTCGAGGCCCGGTTCGATTTAGGAAACTTCTGAGCCAAGTCTTTGTGTTGACTGTCCAACGGTTCGTCGCTGTTTTGCCTTTTGGCGGGCATCAGTTTGCTGTTGTCTGACAAACTTAGACTTTCCACGATGGTTGCTAAATCGCTGCTGTTGTTTATTGCTGATAAATCGTTGTGTGGATCTCGTAGAGGATGGACTATAACTGATAGTTCACTTTCGGTGCTTGCGGCTTGAGATTCTGAAGTAACTGCTACTAAAGCTTCATTTCTGGCACCTAGAAATATATTCAGGATATAACATTGACTATTTGGATACAATTTCAACTTTCAAGCTTCATATCTTGAACACTATAAAAGCTATTTTATTTTAATAGCATTTGCTGCTACCGAAAATGATTATATTTACAAAAACCAAAAATTACACATTTCATTTAGTTTATAAGCAAAATCATCCTGATCAACCAAAGATTCAGCTTAAGCATCAAGAGAGCAGTCACATATCCGGTGGCAGATGTGCCTTTTGACCTTGGGTAGCTCAAATTCGAGCCTCATCATTGGGATTTTGGTAACCGTAAGAAATACGGGGTCGGTTAAATTATGGCAAAGTTGCGCAATGGAGCAAGAAGAAAATGGCATCATCTGTATTTTTACCCGAGCGAAAACCAAACTGGACAGGATTTAATGTTTTGTTATTTTCTAAAAAGATCATTAATCTCTTCTTCACTATTTTCTCAATGACCTTCGAAAGCGTAGATAAAAGGGAAATAGGACGAAAATTAGAAGGATCACTCATATCACCCCCCTTAAACAACGGAACATCAGCATTTTTTAAACATGTTGGAAGGAAATTCGCCCACCGCAAATGACTGATTAATGGAACATGCAATGCAGACTCAGGCAAGCACTCCAATATTCTCACTGAGATTCCATCGTAACCTGCCGAATTCTTGTTTAATATTTCTTTAAAAATCATCCTTACTTCTTCTACATTTGTGCTTTCTAAAATAAAAATTTCAGGAACATAGATATCGACCAAATAATCTATGGGATCCTTCTTTCTCTCAAGAAAATGAAATATCGCATTGAACAAGCTCGACAGGCATTCTTGAGGTTTCGAAGAGTGTTCCGATTTTGACCTCAACCTAAGACTCAGATTCATTAAATGTTTCGTTTGGTTAGTACTTCTTTACGGTATGAAAGGTTGGACATTAAAGGTGACTGCAATTAACAAATTAGAGGTTTTCGAGATGTGGCTGTATCGCTGAATCCTTAAGGTACCTTGGATGGCTAGACGAACGAAGAAGTTCTAAGACGTGTCAACAACCAACGTGAACTGTTTGAATTGATGAAAAAGAGAAAAACGGAATATCTAGAACATATAATCCGAAACACGAAATACCAATTTGGCACCGTTGATCGGAGGCAAGATCGAAGGCCCGAGAGGGATCGGAAGAGAGAAAATGTCTTGGCTGCAAAATATCAGACAGTGGACGGGGCTACATGATGTGCAGTCATTAATACACACCGCAAGGAATAGAAAAGCAAGAAAATATAAAAAATACATAAACACTCACAATTCCTACCTGTCAGGACACTTTCTGCGATGGTCTCAGCTGCTTGCTTAGCTGCCAAATTGTCGGCAGAAGCAGCCTGATCAGTTGAAGCCACTGAAGACTTAATTTCGGTCACTTCCGGTAAACTTGGAGTCGAGCTGCTTTTTCTGCTAGTGAGTACGCTTTGTTTTTCGTCTTTTTTCGTTTTGCTTGAGCCAGTTTGACTGGGTTTGTTCAGAGATTCAACGTCGAAACTTGGTGATAATTTCAGGTCGTACTTGCCTTCGGCACCCATGCGGTAGGAATTTGAACCTCCATGGTCCCATGTAACGTCGATCCAGCCGGAATGGAGCTCACCAGTTACAGTACCTGAGTATAGACAAAATTTTAAAAAAGTTCCACTATAAAAAGTTTACAATAAATGTTGGCTGACAGCTTCATTTCTTACCTTCTCCAGCTGGATTTCCATCCTGATCCCGCCATTTCCAATCAACACCTCGTATCACTCTAGCGCCAACTGTCATATATCTGAGCAGCTGCATTTTAACCAGTCTTCTTTGCTTTCTTAATTGGGCTTCTTGCTCTTTGTGGACTTTTCCTAAATCTTCACATATGCTGATCACTTGACCGTAAATCTCGAAACCAGATAGACTTAGGTAGTTGGTTTGACCAGAGGCATTTTTGCCTGCTTGTTGGATGCGTACATGACGCCAACCTAGACCACACAAAATAAAATTAAAACTTTATAGATCTTTGTGCATATGAAAATAAATCCAAACCTTGTTCATCTTGAGGTGCTTCAACAGGCCAAGTGGCAGTAGATCCCGGTTCATTCAACGACATATCATGAGTGTGCGTACAAAAAGTAGTCCAAAGCATGCCATCTTTCGACATTTGGAAATACCAGTTCCTCAAAGCCGAACGTCCATATCCTCTCGCATGTCTCAAAGTATAAGCTGATGGAATAATGAACAGTCCCAAATCGATACTGAACCATGCTCTCTTATCGTCGTTTGTGTGACAATTCAAAGCCGAATTTTCACGTGACAGGATGTCTTCTAAGCGGCCGTAGGGTAAATTTCTACCGTCCGAGCTTGTGATGGTTACCAGGCCATACTGGGCTGGATTTACCCATTCGGAACTGGTTTTTCCGTTGGTGCCAATAAAGTAAATGACACCGTTTTCGTCAAAGTCTTGAGAATGTTTAAATGTTTGATATTTAGGGTCTTTGAGCTTTCTTAAATACTGAAAAGTGGATCTATCGTAGTCGTACCATTGCTTGGCGACCATTTTCAATAAATATTTTTCCAATTGCGATATAGTGGCAAGGGGCTCCATTTTTAATCCTCTACCGCTTCTATCAATCAATGTGCTTTCTCCTGGAGCTCTTTCAAGTCTAAACCGTAATCTTCTAGTCAAAACTTGAAGCCCATAACCGGACCCTGGAGTATCATACAGGTAAACTGGCAATTTTTCAATGCTTTCTAAAACAGCTATCAGTTTCTGTACTAGGATTGAAATTGAATTATTTTCAGTTAGTGTTTTCATTTTGAAACAATCTTTAAAGATTTGTATGCGTTGTTTTTGGTATTTGTTGACTTTGCTTTGTTTTAAACCTAAAATGTTCATGTGTAAAAATTGATAATAAAATACAAAAACAATCCTTACCTTGATCCCAATAACTAACAGATAAAAGATTCAACAAAGCCTGAACCAATCCAGAACTATATAATTCATAAGCACTGACTACATCGTCATCTTTAAGGATTTGCGTTAAAGCATCCAAAGCATATACAAGCATTTCCTTCCAAGAATTTGTACCCTCTCTATTATTGCCGTAAGAGCCTTGTTTTTGGCAAGCTCTTTCGATTTGTGCCACAATATTTCCTAATTGAGCTACTACGCCTCTAGGTTGAGCTTGTGCTGCTCTAAAATATTGTTCATAGAGCCGATGGGCGAGATATTTGACTTTTGTTTTTGTCGCTTCGGTTTTTGATCGGAAACGTTTGCCTTTTTTGTTGGTCCAACCTGAAGCAAATTCTGCCCCTGAGGAAAAGTTGGAAGTTAAGAAAAATTAAATTGTGTCAACACTAGAAGTTATACTACTAATGGGCTAAAGTTCTTACCAAGGCTAGTTTCAGCAATAAACGAATGTTTGGTGCCTCGGTTAGATTCAAAAATAAATCCAGGAAGGTCGTCTCTCAAGATGGTGGTTTGTTGATGGCCGTCACAATTATGAATATGTACTTCGGCCTCTCTTTTTGAAATTAAAGACCAATTTCCTACAACGAGCCTGTTAGAACCAGGTTTTGACAGAATCGGAATCGATGTGGTGATTCTCACTGCTGCACGTGCTCTGAGGAGCTTTTCTAAGAATTCACCGCGATTTTCTGAAAAAATAATTCTTGTTCAATAAATTTTGCTGATTAAAATATAGTTCTAGGATAAAGAATTTTACTAAAAGCGTAAGAGTGACTACAAATTCTTGTATAGTAGAATATTTAAGTTGCTTTGAATTATTGTAATGGTAAAACTATAACGTACCTTCAGTGGTTAAAGAGTCCGCTGCTCGAGCCTTTCCTAAATTCAAACAAAAAATAACAAAAATCACTTTGGTTATTACATACAGAAAACATTCAAAGGTCATTATGTGAAGTAAATTGGACTAGGTGTTTGAACAAAGGGCAAAATTGCAAAATTACAAATTGAAATAAAATGCATCAAGCCCAAATCAGTCAGTTTTCTATAATAATTCTAAAAAAAGTGAAACTTGAAAAACATATTCATTCAGTTAGAAAATAAAACCAACCTAAAATCTTATAAACTTTTTAAATAACTCTTAACTAATTTTGAAATTCCTACCTGTGGTATCAGCACCTCCTTCGGGTGATCCACTCGAATACATTGTAGCCAACTTGCCATCCAAGATGAATCGAAACCAACCATTAGAACCGTTGGACAACTCCAAAGCAGCAGCATCGCTCCACAAATACAAACAATCTCTGCCTCTGCATATAGACCAATCCCTCCAATGATAGGCTTTACCTGGGAGAATTTCTTTTGCATCTTCTACTTGAGGTTGCTCAGCACCTTCTACATTTAAAAATCAATAAATAGTAAATATTACTTATAATAATGTAATTACCTTCTGGTGTTGCTTCAGCTTCCTCAGCTTCATTTTGTTCAGGTGGCACGGCCAAAGCCTGTACCTTAGTAAAAATCCCTAGCCGAGCAAAATGATCCAAAAATATTTTTTGATTTTTAACCATCAGATCTTGAATAATAGCCAAAGCTATTGAGTGACTTTCTTCATCCTCCTCATTATCGAGCACAATAGCAATAACCTCGACCAATTGGATGGGAAAAGTGGGATTCAATTCTATAAAGCACAAATCTTGCAACAAATTAGATTGGATGTAGTGAATCATTTTTTTAATGAGCCCCAAACTAGCTTTCCGGACGCTTGGCAACATTGTCTGTTGGAATGTGCTGCAAAATATTGGCAGTAATCGTTGTAGATAGACTGGTGCCATTTCAGGATCTCCTTTTGGTTCTAAATTTTCTTCAGAGTCTGATTCAGATTTACGCGCTCTGTCCTTGTCAAGGGATACCATCCATTCACCTAAGAAACGTAAAATTTTCAAAGTGTCATTTGTATAAAGCTAATTTTTTACCTGGTGATTGCAATATGGCAGCTACTTCCCTATGTCCTTCGTCTGCACGTTCCCTAGCCTTATCCAAAGGTGTTTTCCCATCTTCATCGCGCAAATCTGGATTGGCCCCGTGTCTCAACAAAACTTTAGCTATTGTGGGCCTGCCAAAGCAAGCAGCATAATGCAAGGAAGAAGATCTTTGCCCCTTGTTAACATCAGCTCCCTTTTCGCATAAATATTCAACCATTTCCTGGGTCCCGAAAGCAGAGGCCCAATTCAAGAGCGTTTGGCCGACATCGTCCATGAAATTCACCTCAATACCGCCATTTTCTATGGCTTCTATAAGGGCATCAGTATCTTTAGATCTGATACAATCTATGAGCTGCCTGTGTGATTTTTCAGCAGCAGAATCCATTCGTCTGATGCGAGGCATGAGTTGTCCCGAAGAGCAGGCTCCTGGTTTTCCAAGAGCTTTTCTACCTTCGAATAGAAGAACCAACAAAAGGTCTACTAGACGCATCGAGTCTAAGGCGCAACGTTCGTCACCTTTCAGGGCTTTTTCAATTGCATCTAACAATTCGGAACGGAGCAGATCCTAGAAACAAGTAAATTGTAAGAAAATTAAATTGTTAAATTGAGTACTTACATGTGTAATAATAGGAGATCCTCTACACAAAGTAGACAAAAGACTTATAATAGTTGAAACAGAAGCAACATTAGCTTTAGTATCAGTTACTGCCACTGTAGCAACATTGCCGGATGTTGTGTTTTTGCCTGGTGTATTTTGAGTGCCAGCTACTGAACTTGGACCGGCAGCATTTGATAGACGACTTAATAATTCTTTTACCAAACCTTTAAAAAAAAATTACCTATAAATTTTGGAAAACGTAATTTTTGAAAATTATTACCATGTTGGGCTAATGGAGCAGGATCCACACCTCTCCTAGTGAAACGATCTGCTATTGACGCAAAACAACGGAGTGCCCCATCAGCTACATGAAGGTCTTCATGTTGAAGCAATGCACTTAAAGCCTAAAAAGAATATTATCAATAAAATTTACCTATTTCAAAATAAAAATCTAGAAATTACTTGGACACAACCAGGCAGTTGTAAATCAGCTGGCTCCATTTTGGTACAAAGCCTGGAAACAACAGCCATAGCTGAGTGTAAGGTGTCTTTGTGAACCAACTGTCCATTATCGCGTATGAAAGGCAGGATGCAACTTAAACCTGCGGCATCGAACACTGAGCCAGCTTCTCTAGTACATATCAATTCCAAAACCTATAAAGAAATGTAGATGATTTGATGTCTAAATTTGAAAAATTATTCAAATATACCTTGACACATTGTTCAGCTAAATCTTTACTTGTCCTACTAGAAAGTTCAACAACAACTAAACGATTGCAGATAGCTTTAATAGCGCCATCGATAGCGACAATTCTTCTAGTGCATTCAGCTGATACGTCTAAGTAGTAGGTGACGGCACGGGCAGTGACCTCTAGTACATTTTCGGGTGCATGTTCGTCTAAAAAGATTCGACATAGGGCCGGGAGAAATGTCCGAGGCGGACAACTTTCAAAACACCGGTCTACATTGTCGGACATCAAAAGTAACATGCACAATTGCTCGAGAGCAATTAGTTGCATGTCCCTCTCTTCGCCTATGCCGCTGTTTAACCATTCTAGAAGGGTTTCCGGGTCTGGATCTGCCATCTGAAATGGGAAACGATTTGAATATTAATGCAAATTTATCTTTTAAGCTTGTATGCAATTTCAATTATTTTACATGGCTTGAGAATGTTAGCAAGTTGACAGAAAAGGCGAAAAATATAATGGGTGAGGGGAGTCCTTATTCAAAAAATCATTCCACAGGTGTTTCAAGTTTAACAGTCACAGATACAATTTTGCATCAACAATGAATTAATGAATTTCTTGTGAGTACTTGTTGTACGGAGTACGGTAATACAACTTATCTAAACTTATATACCAATGAGGGTTGTTACAAAAATGTTCAACCCCAACAGTAGAAAACAATGACAAATTTGAACAATCACCATCAATTTTAATTACTGCATGACTACTAGTAAAAATTCTCAACATTTGCAAGTACAAAAACGAACAAAAAATCAAAATATATGACCTCCGAGATAATGTAAATGGATATTTGTTTTTTTTGTTGAATTGAAATGTTGATATATCTAGATTTTTTTCTATTCATAATTTTCAAGAATTTTTAATGAGAGCCTTCTTTCTATTGAAGTTTCTAGCAAGTCTTGTTTAGAGATGCCATTGTGTTTTTCACCAATTCAACATTTTTGTGACAACTCTTAGCATGAAGTATAAAAATGTAAGATTGTCAGGCTTTTATAACAATTTTTGTTACTGAAAATTGCAATCACTATACAATATTCCTGATAAGTTCCGTCATTCACCAGAAATGCTACATGAAGTATTTTTTGTTCTTTCTTTCCTTGTGCTAGTAAAATAAGCGACCAGTATTCAGAAAAATGAAATATTGATAAATTTACCCCAAATTGCTTAACGCGATTTTATTTCTGGAATTATAAGTCCAAATGAGCTGAAATTTTCAGGAATTGTAGTCCTCTACTAAAATAAAAATCGCTGAAAATGTCAGCTTTCTATCTTTAATAGAAGAAAAGTTATGACCTTTCAAAGTTTTCCAAAATCTAAATCATAAGGTAAGGCACCTCAGTACTAAAACGATGAAATTTCAAATTGTTTTGTTGAGATTTCGTATACTTATGCTTTTTTGGGATCCCCCTAACTCCATACACTAAATTATTCCGAGATTTGGAGCCGTATTCTTTGAAAAAATGCACTCAAAAAATTGAAAAATTGATAAATGTACCCCAAATTGTTTAGCGCGATTTTATTTCTGGAACTATAAGTCCAAATGAGCTGAAATTTTCAGGGATTGTAATCCTCTATTGGAATAAGTATCGCTGAAAAATTCAGCTTTCTATCTCTTATAGAAAACAAGTTATGACTTTTTGAAGTTTTCCAAAATCTAAATCATAAGGTTACCTTAGTACTAAAATGATGAAATTTCAATTTTTTTTTATGTTGAGATTTTGCCTTTATATGATCAGTTGAGATCCCACAAACTCCATACACTAAATTATTCTGTGCTTTGAAGCCAAAATTCATAAAAAAAGGACGTCAGGGACATCAGGTAATTGCAAAATCGATAAATTCACCCCAAATTGCTTAACGCGATTTTATCTCGGAAACTATAAGTCCAAATGAGCTGGAATTTTCAGGGATTGTAGTCCTCTACTATTATAATAATCGATGAAAATTTCAGATTTCTATCTATGTATAATAGAAAAAAGTTATGATGTTCAAAAATTGAAAAAGAGTGAAAGGAATTATAGTCCTCTACTGGAATAAGAATTGCTGAAAATTTCAACTTTCTATCTTTAATACAAAAAAAGTTATGACCTTTCAAAATTTTCCAAAATCTAAATCAGGAGGTAGGCACCTTGGTACTAAAACGATGAAATTTAAATTTTTTTTATGTAGATTTTGTGTCCTAATGGTCCTTTGGGATCCCCCGAACTCCATACACTAAATTATTCCGAGATTTGAAGCGAGATTCTATCAAAAAAGGCACTCAGAAAAATTGAAAAATTGATAAATCACCCCAAATTGCTTAACACGATTCTATTTCTGGAACTATAAGTCCAAATGAGCTGAAACATTCCGGGATTGTAGTCCTCTATTGGGATAAGAATCGCTGAAAAATTCAGCATTCTATCTATATGTAATAGAAAAAAAGATATTGACCTTTCGAAGTTTTCCAAAATCTAAATCATAAGGTTACCTTAGTACTAAAATGATGAAATTTCAAATTTTTTTTTATGTTGAGATTTTGCCTTTATATGATCAGTTGAGATCCCCTAAACTTCATACACTAAATTATTCTGTGATTTGAAGCCAAAATTCATAAAAAAAGGACGTCAGGTAATTGAAAAATTGATAAATTCACCCCAAATTGCTTAACGCGATTCTATTTCAGGAACTATAAGTCCAAATGAGCTGAAATTTTCAAGGATTGTAGTCCTCTACTATGATAATAATCACTGAAAATTTCAGGTATCTATAATAGAAAAAAAAATTATGATTTTTAAAATTGGACAAATTTGGGGGAAAAAAATAAATAAAAACAAATCATGTAAAAAGTATATTATTGACATCATAATAACATTTAACACATACACAAATTTCCTAAAAAAAAAAAATGCAGTCTCCTAATTAATGAAATGAACAATTAACAATTTTCTAATACAAAATATATAAGAACTCAAAAATTATTCATCTCTTAAGTACATCACTTTTCCCTGATAATAAACTAAATCAAAATAATACATATTATATATTATTTATTTGCATATTATTGTACTTTCATTTGAGATTTGGCTTAGATTTTCTAATATAATATACTTTTCAAAAAACTGGTAGACAAAATCGTTTATTGTATATTTTGGCACAAAGTATACATATTTTATTTTCGCTTAAATAACAATCTTTTACAATAAATTCATCTAAGTTGACAAACTAGATATGTCATTTTGTTTTCTGTTCTCTTGACTTTCACAAATAATTTAGCTTAAATATAAGAACATTCATCTAAAAAAGTTTTAATCCTAGTATACTTGGAGACCGTCCCTCAGGTCTTTGAACTTTTCGTTAATACAATTTGTCAAGAAAAACTACAATACTAATACTATCATGTAAAGTTTTAAAAAAGAATGATTTTTGCTATACAAGAAAAATAATAAAAATATCACAGAACAGGTTCTTAAGAAGTTTGTTGACTAAATTTTGATAAAAATACGTATAAAAGGTAAATCAATTCTAAAGTATTACAAATTGATTTATACTTAGAATTATTAAATTTATACGTATTTGGTATTAGGTTTTTGTCAAGACGAAAGATTATTTTTTGAAGAACTTTCCAAATAAATTTGCAAATTTTCAAAATAGATACAACTATAAAATCTTTCATCCCAAAGAAACCTTGTAATAATCACAAAAAAAAAAATAAAAACCCTACTTACATAAATAAATAAGTCTTAATGGAATAATTCAGCCTTATAGAGGCATTAAAAATATAATATTTCATGTGGAATGTTTCAGTATTTTAGCTAAAAATAAACTTTTTCTAGACCATTCAAAGAGAAAAGCTGCAATGCTTGGATCAGTTTGGATGTTCTAGTCTAAAAGGATTTTTCAAAACCCTATTATTGTCAGATTGAGTTACTTCCCACAAAATCCCTTCAATTTTCCTCAGCCTCAGTCAAAATAATCGTAATATTACTAGAAGGTGAATTCTCATTAAGTTTAGCGGAATATAAAACAGAAGGTTCTTTTTTCCTCCGTTGTTTAATAAACGAATCTTTTTCTACAGCATCAGTAGAAGTACCTGCAGGAGAATCTATCTCCCTAAGCTCAATAGATTGATTAGCTTCCTTTTTGAAGGCACTACAGATTCTAGCATAAGATAATTGACAACAGTTATCGGTCGGACCAAACGTTACCAAAAGTGAGCCCAGAAAGAAAGTGGCATATAACCAACTTATTGTCATAATTAATACTAAAAACAAGCCTATTTGGTAATAAGGTAAAACCCACGAGAATATCATGATAAATCCTGAAATGGCTGTAGTAAAGCCGGCCATAAAAGATGGGCCCATAAGGCAAGAAAGAGCATATCGAGTGGCTTCCTTACGATTACCAGCTAAATTTTCAGGGCACATTCTATAGTTGATGCAGTAATGCAAACTAAAATCAACTGATAGTCCTATAGCAGTAGATATCACTATAGATTCCAGAATATTCAATTTCCAACCTAACAGAATTATACTAGCCATTGTGGTAACAATACTAAAAGTAATTGTAAGTACAGCTATGGCACTTAACAAAGGATTTAAAGTACTCAAAAACAAAACACAAGATGCCAAAATCATGGAAACCAAAATAGCGTTTTCAGTACCTAATTTTAATTCCCTTTGAAGATCATAAAAAGCAATATCACTTGTAAAAAATCCATTTTTCATATTCAACGGAGCAGTTAACATTTGCAACTTAAAGAATTCGTTAACTTTGCCATAAAAATCATCAACAACATCAAAAGACAATGAAAAACTAACATTACTCTCAAACTCCACAACTACAGCTTTAATTGTAGGCAAGTCTTCTTTTGAAAAATATGCCCCTGCGCTTTTCGGATACAAAAATTTCGAAGGGCCCGAGTAAATCTCATGCATTTCATCAAAAATACATCTATCAAACACACTTTGATTGAAAGGAAAAGGGGAAGCATTACAACAAGGCGAAAGATCATTATTAGAAAATGCTTCAGTGCAAGGCCTTTGCATACTAGTTGCAAACGTATCAATAAAACAATTAGTTAACGAAATAGTAACACTCTGTTGATAAAATGAGGCAGATTTAATCTTAGAACAAAAATTTTTAAGCCAAACTTGCGATTCCATATCAGTCATGTTGAAACTTGAATCATAAACCAAATGTCCTAAATCATTAGGGTTCAAATGATTACCATTATCCACCGCTTGAATTCCCCAAACAAATCTTAGTGGCAATTTGTATTGTTCGGCATCAATACCTTCTGGTTCAAGATGAAACCAGAACTTATTTTTATAAACAAAATCGTATTGTTCAAAGGGATGATTGTATTGTAGCAATTGCAAATCAGCATCTGAAGGCAACACTAAACCAGGATAAATAAAAACTACCATAACTGCACTCATTGCAATTGAAGTAAAAATTAAAATCCAAAAATAACGCAACTTTGTAACAACATTGATTATAAACTCTATTTTATAGCTCCAGATTTGGCCGATTATTTGCAACCATAAAGAAGTTCCTAACAGTCTTAATAAAATATTTGAGCAGGCTTCTCTTGGCGAAAATAAATTGCAAGGAGGCTTTATTCTTAACCAAGCAGCTTGATCCAGTATTACTAAACAAGCAGGAAACCAGGACATTGTCAATAAAAAGTTAACTACTATAGCGGTTCCAGCAAAAATGCTAAAACAACTGATAGCAGTGATTGAGCTGACATAAGACCCCCAAAAAGCTACTGCAGTAGTCAAACTGGTAACCAACATGGATTTGAAGGCATGAGCAAAAGTTTCACTTAAAATTTTAAGAAGCATTGTAGCTTCTTGGCTAGCTAATTCAGCCTTTTTCACATTCCACATTTTACAAAAAATAAAAGCATTATCAGCCCCGACGCCTAAACAAATAATAATACTGACCACGTTCATAAAAGGAAAAAAAGCAATCTGATACACCATAGTATACAAAAAATATGTAATAGCCAATCCAAAAACTAAGGAAGTTAATGTCATAAAAGTTAAAAAAATTGAAGCTGTATACATCCAAACACATGCAAAAATAAATAATGCCCCTAAACCCATGAGCCAAGCGTCTCTTAAAAGATATTCATCAAAAATGATGGTTTTTATTCCAAAATCGATTGCTACAATTTGAAGACCTTCGAATTTAGAATTCAAACTGTAGACTTCATCATACAAGGGCACACTTGCTATACCAGAAGCTATAGGTAAAAATATAATGGTTTCTTCAAGTTTTTGATTGGAATTGTATAGTTTGTCTTTAGGAAAAAAACTAGTACTAGCCAAATAATTAAATATTGTAAAAGCAGCTTCGTATTTTAAACATTTTAAAGGCGTTTGACAGTTTTTATCACTAGAACCTCGACTGAAACAATTATCATGTATATCATTGTGATGATAAAATAGAGAACATTCGGATAGCATAGATAAAGTATCATTGACATCACCTTTGGTTATTCCTAAGCAAGAAGTCCTGTCGTACAGTTTTGCAATATAATTTGGAATTGACCACGGTCTGCAACATTGGCCCTCAATATGTGTGTTGGAGATGCAAAGTTCAGCAACTGAATTTAGGTTCATGATTATGTTTTCCAATTTGCATAAGGATTGTAGATGTTCAAAAGTGAAAAGGTTTTCTTGATTGGCTGAAGTAATCACTATATGAGCATATTTTTCGTCTGGTCCTCCACAGAAGGCTTGTTCGTAAAATACATGTTTGTCATTGCTGCTGCTGTGATGAGTAAAGTTTTGTAGAATATGCCATTTGTTTAACATGGCCTCTTGTGTAGCATTATGTCGCCAATTGGTGACTACTTTTCCATAGATTGTTGAATTTTTCGAGTCCTCATATCCCCCAATATCGTTTTGGTTTTTTCGGATGGAGTTTTTGAAAGGATTAAAAGGTTTCCTTCGTTCTCCCTTGCGTCTAATAAAAGGTTCCTCGCTAAAATTTTGCTTGTTTCTCACCAACAAATATTCTTTGGGATTTTTCGTTAGACTTCCGGATGGTCTCAGTTCGTTTTGCAAATTTTGCCAGGCGATATGTCCTCTAGCTATTGCAGTGTTTCGCGTGGAAAAACCCAATTGAGGATCCTGGAACGTCGGAAACCGCATGGATTTCAAGGTGAACGGTAAAACGCAACAAACAATGGAAAACGCTGCGACGAGGAGCACCATGAGGTACGGATGTTTCGCCAACAATTTTACGTAACATTTCATCAACATTTTGATCGAGATTCAATTTTTCTACATTTTTAGACACTTTTTACTTGGCCCTGGGGCTGAATTTGTTCATTTTGAGCGTACCTTTAAAATTGGTAACATTTTGCGGAAAAAATTGATTTTATTTTCATTTTCTAACCTCACAATTGGATGACAGCTGACAACCAAGGAAATCCACCCAACGTTGCCAAATCTTTTGTTGATGGATGAAATGATGATGCTCTTGAATAAATCTTTGGAGAAAGGTTTTTCTCGCGTCTCAAAGTTTTGAAACATTTTTCAAAACTGATTTAAAACAGTTTTACAATGACGTCATAACTTCTCGGCGCGAGAAAATGGTCTTAAAACGTGGATTGTGGATTGTATTGTATCAACTACATTGACCGTGAGTTCGTCTTGAAACACTGAACGCTCGGATCATCTTCCATCTTTTTTCCTTTTGATGAGAACTGCGATAGAAAACAATACAACAGCCCCGAGTCTACTCGAACTTTATCTAAATAAACCCTAATTTGTCATTTATTTTCCCTTTTTTGGAAATTCGCCAGAATAATTTGGTAAGTACTTTGGTACTATAGTTTATATTCAACAAAGTCAATGCTAAATAATTATTATTTATGAAAATAGCCTCTCTTCACTTGTCCAATGGACAGTACAGCTTCAAAAATGGACGATGAGACAATAATTAGTTCTGCAAACAACTTGTGGCCACTTGCTTTAAATGCGAGTAACGTAAATCGGGAATCTGGCGAACCAATGGCAAAAAAGACCAAAACTAGCACAGCAGAAGACAGCAACGACATACTTGATGCTGATGTAGAACCCGAGCTCGGGAGTAAGTACCAAACAAAACCTAACCTACAATATTGACCAAGCATTATTTACCTTACTTCTATTATAGAAGTGACTAGATTATTCAAGTATGTAGAGATCATTGAGGTAGAGATTCATAAAACTTATTTTTTCACTACCATAAGTACTTCACGGGCTGTTCACACTTTACTCACTAATGTGTAAAGTAAACATGTAGAAAATATCTAGCTTATATATATATATATATAGGGCGATTCAACGTTCTCTCAATTCAATATGGCGCCATGGGAATAACACACATACCTCAACCATAAAGGCAGGTTCAGATTCAATTCCCATCCAAATTGTAAACAATTGGAATTGAATGTAAAGGCACCTTCAGGATCGTCAAGTTTGTTTATGTCCAAGTCACCCGCGGCCAACCTTGAATCACGGCAATATTTATGGCGTTTCCGATTGGTAGATCTAGTGCAGAACTAGTGCAATTTTTTCTATCTCTGTCTTTTTCTTCTACAGGTCGATTAAAAGGATGCAAATACACTCAGTGCGCACTGAATCTACCAATCGGAAACGCCATTAGATTTGTTCGGAGTTAGTTCAGAACGAGTTCTGAATTGAACTGCGCCTGTGCATTTGGTCATATGGAACATATATAAACAAATGCGCAAGCGCAGTTCAATTCAAAACTGGTTCTGAACTAAGTCCGAACAAACCTATTGTGTAGCACCATTGACAACGTCATCAACTACGTCGTCAGGTGTTTGAGCCAGCGGTCCTAGTTTAAAATAAACATTTAGGATGAAAAATATTATTTAATTTTGATTAACTTGAATAGGCAAAGAGGAAGATGCGAATCTGTGGTGCAAACACCCTATGTCAAGGCAAGAAACTACAGGGTGCTTACGTCATCACTGGTGCTTTGGCATGGTGAGGGAGCTTCAGATTTGAACTACACATGCCTTATGAGGATAAGCTATTCTGTAGTGATAGTATGTATTATCCTTGCAAGTTACCTACTAAAGTTTGGGATACTTACAAAAAGAAACAACAAAAAGTATTTGCGGTGCGCGGGTGCGAAATTCATGCACAAATGACTCCAGATCTTAATTTTCAAAATTGTCAATAGATGGCATCAACATCTACAGTGACTTTATTACCACAGTGGCGACAATTGTCGTCTTCTTTTTGATTGGTTCTTTAAAATCCCATATATTCATATTGAAAACGCCGCCATTTTGTGTCCAACCTCTTGCTACTTTTAAATATGAATATATAGGATTTAAATGGACATCCATTGAAAACGACGTATCCGATGACTATAATTAGGCACATCAAATACGTTGTTTTCAATTTTTTATGATGGATGTCCATTTTAATGCCATATATTCATATTTAAAAGTAGCAAGAGGTTGGGCACAAAATGGCGGCGGGACCTCTATTATCGCCACTGTATGTAAAGGTTTATTTAGCCACTGTAGACCTATCTATTTTTACCTGTATGCGCGCGCAACACGAGGCAATGCATTTTTATTGGCTAACTAGTACAGGTGTAAAATAATCGTTTTGCATGCTGGGCATCTCCTTGTCCTTGTTTATTGCCCGTGGTCTGACAAGGATAAAATTATGCTTGATATTCAACTTGACGCAGCTTGACAAGTGATCGATTTTCAATTGTTTGTGTTTTTGATTGACAGATAGGTTGCACCAGTGGCGGCTCGTCGTATAAAGCAACTGAGGCCGGGCCTCACATGTAAAAATTACAATAATGATGTAAAATTTTGAAATAATATTCATTAAATATTTACGTTTTTCAACTATTTTCAATCATTAAAAGAATCAAAACATCGAATTTTCATTAAAATATAATACTATTTCTTGAATTTAGCGCGCGCTTCTACCTATTTATCCTTATAGGCGCTCAAATCGTTGCCGGACAGCATTAAAATAAAATAGCAATCCCAAAAATTTTGGCCTCATGTGCGTCACAGAACGCCGAAGCGATGCCACGGCACTCCCCACCACAACCCTTCAACTGTAGGTGAGATGATAGCGAATTTTCATAGGCATTGAGGCGCACAATTTTGGGCTTGTTAATAAGAAACCTTGCATCTCTTGCTGCTGCGACAAGTATTTAATTGGTTAATTGGCTCATACTTTTTATTTTGGTCTGCTGCGGGTTAAAAAAAATGTTTTTGGAATTTATTTTGTTAATTTGAAACTCAATATTTGTATTAAAATAAGAATTATGTGCCTACTGCTGTTGTTTTGCAACTGTAAGAAATGAAAATTTTCATTAGAAATATACAAAAAAAAATATCCGAGATGTTCTTTTAATGAAATTTTGGGTCAAATTTGGGCGTAACACTTGAAAATTTTGTTCGGGTTAACTTGATGGGCCATGGGCCTCACCAGTTTGGATTGTCACGAGCCGCCACTGGGTTGCACGTCACGCAATTTTCCTCCTTCCTTTTTTATCTCGTGCAAATAATAAGAACGGATTGCTAGACGTAACTCTAACATAATTTGGTACGTTTTGCCTCGTCTTGCGCAATAAGCGTTCTGCGTCTTTTTCTATCTAATAAAGATTTCGTATTATTATCTCTTTGTCTGGTAAAATAGATAGGTCTATTGAGAAGTTCACTATTCTTAAACTAAATACAGAGTGAGTTTTAAGTATGGAATGTCTTAATTATCTCAAAAACGGCTTGCACGATTTCTATGAATTTTGGTTTGAAAGAGTATTGTGATATGACCGATAATATGGTAGTATTTACATGGTTGTCAAATTTTTTGTTTTTTTGGGAAATATCAGAAACTTTGTTTTTTAAATGGATCACCCTGTATATTATGACATTTCTAGGTTCTGCGGAAAATTCTAGACATATTTCATGTACAATGTCATACTTATTAGGCAATTCAAACCACGTGACTTTCAAGATGGCGTGGCGGCCACACATGGGCCAAAAAACAGAAAAAAATATCTAGAATCTGCTCGATTTATTAGTTTAGGTACCTAGTCAACAAATATTTTATTAAATAGTCCAAATCAAAGTTGCAAGCAAAACTCTAAGCAAAATAATTTGAAATATGCATAAAAACACATTCAAAACAAACTTGCTTGGCCGCCCCGCCATATTGAATTTCCCTATCTGACAGATGGATTGAATTGCCTAATACCTATCTTCAACTGTTTCAGAAATATTGACATTTGAAAGTTGACTTTTTTGCAACTTTGACAGGCTGTAAAACCTAAACAGTTAATTTTAGAGAAAAACTGATCATACATTCTTGTTTTACATTTTCATAAACTATCATTTGACACCAACTTTGAGTTTAATCAAAGATTAAAGGACCCCGCACACCTCTTATGAGATTTTGGGATTCGGTCAATTTTCCTGAAAATTTGATATGATGTTCCTCTCAACATTCTGATTAAAAGTGTTCATAGCCACAACTTGATCCTATGACTGGTTTTCGAGATTTATATGCATTTACATCTACCTGTCACCTAATAATATACCAGAATTGACAGGTATTTCCACGCTCTGGTGACAGGTAGATGTAAATGCATATAAAATGTGTGCATTTCTTGGATATTAAACTACCTGTATCTCGAAAACTAGTCATAGGATCAAGTTCTGGCTATGAATACTTTTAATCAGAATGTATTAAAATTTCAGAAAAATTGACCAAATCCCAAAATCCCATAAAAAGTGTGCGGGGTCCTTTAATTGGAATTTTCAATCATGGGTTAAAGTTGGTGTCAAATGATAGCTTATGAACATGTAAAACAAGAATGTAAGATCGCTTTTCCTCTAAAATTAACAGTTTAGGTTTCACAGCCTGTCAAAGTTACAAAAAAGTCAATTCTCAACTGTCAATATTTCCGAAATAGTCGAAGATAGGTATGTGACATCCATAAATGTCATAATATACAAAGTGATCTATTTGAAAAAACAAATTTTCTGATATTTCCCGAAAAACGAAAGCTCTGACAACCATCTAAATACTACCATATTAATGGCCATACTACAATACTCTTTTAAACCAAAATTCATAAAAATCATGCAGGCCGTTTTTGAGATACTTGAGACGTTCAATAGTTAAAATTGTGTATGCAACTCTCATGTAATTGCCATTAATACACTTGCATGGTACGTACGAAACTCGCCTACGGCTCGTTTCCTATCCTACAACATTACACGATCATTGCATAATATACTATTTTCCACTACCGTAAAGTAAGTACTTCACGCACTCTTTACACTGTTCATACTAGTGCGTAAAGTAAACAAGTAAAAAATAGCTATTTATGCAACAAGTGTGTAAAGTGAACCTTTTTTTACGAATGTGAATTTTGACATGACAATCACGAGTGAAAAAGGGGGGTTTTAACACACCTGTTGCATAGAATTTTTTTTCTACTACCGACAATATAAGGCCATAAATTTGAAAAAATATACCATAACTTCACGTTCCAGTGTCTAAAGTAAGTTTTTCACAACTTAAGGTTGAACAGGTTCGAAATGGCCCCAACAGAGATAAGTTGACAACACTTGATATTTGTTGGATTTGCGCAGATAATCACAACTTAAAATAGTATAGTGGTGAGGACGCTTGTGAACATAAGAATACATCAGAATACATATGAATACATAAGAATACATGAGATTACATGAGGCTTGTAGACTGGAATACATTGGCCGTTTCTTATAAAAAAATGAAAAACTAATTACCTAATATACTAAATATTTATCTCCAACACTTTCCCTCATTAAAAAGTTCTTTTTAACATTAATTCCATTTTTGAACACTGAATCTGGAATTTAATTATTTTAATCGAGGGTTTCGCAATCACATCTGCAGAATTTTTGTTCCTGAAAGGCATCTAAAGACTCTTTTTAGACTTGTTACATCTTTCGAATAAAGATTTTCCAAAGTTCTTGAGAGATATCCCACAGCAAAGGAAATTCTAATCACGTTCCAACCATTAAAGCATCTACTGCATCTCTGGAAGAAAACATTTGTTTCTGAATGTCTCTTCCTATTTTTGAAATAGCAGAAATCTTCTCAATTGGTGTACCCAGCTTTGTTTCTTTTAGTTTCTAAGCCCAACAAATATGTCGCTGGTTTTGTAGTAATTATGAATTCTTGTCTTAAATCTTCAATAAAGGCTTGCAATTGCAATGTAGAAAGTAATGAGCAACCTTTTGTCATTTCTTCCTCTCACATACAAGTCAATCATTGGTCAGCTTCACTTGCCTTGAAACCTAATTTTTGAAGAAATGTGTTGATTTTTGTGTACCAACAATGTGGGGTTTGTTCTAAAGTTAAACCATATAAGCTTTTCCTGCTGGTAATCATCTTGTTGTTTGATAAGGATGGTCTCCTGTATATAGTTTTCATAAAGAAATGCAGTTGACACATTAAATATATGCTCAAAATTGTTTTGTAACAGGACTGAAAGTGTCCGTTCATCTCTTTGGTTAAAGTCTTTGATGGCTAGCCTACTTTATAACAATGAATGGAACAATCAGGATCTGTTTCAAGCTTGTACACGCATTTACTTTTTGCGTTTTCTGGTAGCTTTAGATGTTGATTTAGATGGGGGTTCTCCAATGTCTTTGTGATTTTCGGGATTAGGCTTGATGCTGTCTTGTAGGAGTATAATAAGCTCTGCACAGTCGGTCAACTCAAAAAATCTGACATGCCTAAACAAAACTACTCTTGATTCTTTTCTAACCCAAATTCTATACTATAGCTTTCTTTCCCATTATAACCAAGAAGTTATCCTTCTATTGCCTTTTTGTCTATTTTTCTTCTGGTTTGTACTGGAACATGTGTATAACAAGTTGAGCCAATAATAATTCTGAGGTGGTTTCTTCTGCTGTGTGCATGCACATTTCATATGGACTATTAAATAACTGATTGAGTAAATTCTTCAACAGAATTTAATTGTAGTTACAGATGAACCAGAACTGCTAGATATATCCGATGACATTTTGCGTACCCAAGTCTGTCAGGAATGTTTCCAGTACCTCTCTGTTGGTCCTATAACCATCGATACTAGAGGAAAATCAATTTGCGGAAGATGCAATGTCAATCAAGTTCAGACAAAGTCCTTTTACAACATACTGGCCCAAGGGTATATACGTATTAACCTGAAATTTATTCACAGCTGCTTTATTTTCCTTTTTAGACTGAAATTTAAATGCACTAATCACATGAACGGATGCAACGAGCAGCTGCCTCTAGCGGAAATGCGAAATCATGAAGCCAATTGTAACTATGAGCCTAAGTATTGTTTCTTCTGTTCGTTTTCAGGAAGCCTCGCTCAAAACCTAAACCATGCCTTGAAGTGCCATCCAGAGAATATCGCCGTTGATGGAAAAATAAAATTTTCCTTATCCGAAGCTGAATATAAGAAAACCCTACTGTATTTACTCAATGACAATTTATACATTATTGTCTTTGAAACTACCAAAGAACTCGTCAAAGTTCTAATTCAGGTAGAACACCAAAATTTTAAAGCCAAACATTTCGGGATCAAGTTTTTTAAAGCCAAAGATCCATCGGATTGTGTATTCGCTTTGACTGATTACGGTTTGCTTCACGAACATTTCCCCACCTATTTCGAAAAGGCAAAAGACCACCTCGAAATGACTTTTGGTCTTGATAATAATTTGTATTGTCAAGTTTTAGTGGCAGAGTTTGATTCAGAAGCTAAAGACATTGAAATCCAAAAACGCTTCGCTGTTCTGCGCACAGCAGAAAAGAATTTAGCCCAAGCACAACGTAAAAAGGAACTGTACAGCCCTGCCATAAAAATAATCAAGTTAATGTCGTCTGCATTTTTCAAGTGCAGCAGATGCAAAAAAAACTGTGCTACGGATATGTACTACTGTGAAAATCTTCATTTTTATTGTAAATATTGTTTGCAGACTATTTGCAGGCGATGCCACACTACAAGAGCATATAAAAATTTGAAGGATTTAGATTTCGAGGTTGCCTGCGAATACACCGATTGTAATAAAAATGTTAAAATTATGCGGTATTTGGCTCATAAAATACAGTGCCTCAAAAGACCGTACAAATGTCCTTTGGAGAACTGCAACGAGACAGTTTTCTCTACTCTAATGCTCATTCAACATTGGCACGCTGTTATGCCAAAACTATTTTTCCAAAGAGCATTGGTGCTGGACGAATTTAAGATTGAAGAATTTTTCTGGTTAGCCAAAAACGATTTGTATAGGGTTCTTGTACATTTTACGGAAAAAGATATAAAAGTTCTAATCGATGGGATTGATGTGTTAGATAAAGATGCGTCGTTTAAAATCTACTTGGCTGGCCCTTTGGTTCAAGATATTTGTATAAATGATTCTATAGATCCTGATTTATCCATGTCGAATTTTTGTGGGAAACATGAGGCTCGTGGGAAAAATAAAAATTACAACAGACTTACAATACGATATGTTGCATACATAATGTAAAGGCTTCATAAATATTTTCTTGTTCAATTTAAAACTTATTTTCTTTAAATTTAAAATGCAAATATTAATTTTGTAGTTTGTACTTATTTATTTAGCTGACAGTTTGTTTAGCATTCCCTGATATTTTGTAACTTTGAAAAATGAATAAAATTTCCTTGGGCGGAACGTTGCCATAGAGTTTCTTTCAACTAATGCTTTGATTGAATAGTTATTATGTGTATATGAAAAAAGGACCTCAGGAAAATTGAAAAATCCAAAAATTCACCCCAAATTCCTTAACGCGATTTTTTTCTCAGGAACTATAGGTCCAAACGAGGGTCCAAATGAGCTGAAATTTTCAGGATTTGTAGTCCTCTACTAGAAAAAGAATCGCTGAAAATTTCAGCTTTCTAGATATCTACATATTATATAAACTGTCACTTTATGGAATCACAGGGAATCTCTTGACCTGGATAAAGTCTTTCTTGACAGATAGGGTGCAACTTGTGAAAATCGAAAATACACTGTCGGATCCCATTAAAGTGAGATCAGGCGTACCACAAGGAGGACATTTGTCCCCTCTTTTATTCAATTTGTTTATCAATGACATTCTTGCTTTGTGCACTCCAAATTTCTTTTATACGCTGATGATTTGAAGGTCTATAAAAGCATAACAAATCATGATAGTTCCAATCTACTCCAAGAAGATTTGGATAGGTTTTCTGAATGGTGTAATCAAAATAAAATGATCCTTAATGTGGATAAGTGTAAGTGGATTAAGTTTAGTAGATCATCTGGTTTGCGACGGCAAGATGGCTATAAAATAAATAACAAATATTTGGAGAAGTTAAACATAATTAGAGATCTTGGGGTATTAATAGAATATAAACTTACATTTTCTGCCATGTAGAGAACTCGAGAGAGAACTGTTATAACAAAGCCATGTGTATGTTAGGCTTTGTCAAGAGAAATACTAAAGATTTTAAAGACATAAACATAATAAAATTATTATACACATCTCTAGTTAGATCTCAGCTAGAAAACTGTTCTGTCATTTGGAATCCATTCTTTCAAACCTATGTTAAAAAGTTAGAAAGTGTACAGAGGAAGTTTTTAAAATATATTGCTTTTAAGAAGGGGTTATCAGCTGACAATTTAAGCTATACACTATTGGAAAAGACTATAGATTTGCACAGTATAGAAAGGAGAAGGGAGATATCAGATACTTTGATATGTTTTAAAATTATATCTAATTACATTGACTGTTCAGAATTACTTGAATTAATCCAATTTCATGTGCCTTCACGAACTTTGAGGGAAGGTAAAACGTTTGAATTAAAATTTCACAGAACTTCGTATGGCCAGAACTCTCCTCTGACCAGGATAATGAGAACAGCAAATTCATTTGATGGCGATCTATTTAACATAAGTCTCAATGCCTTAAAGTCCAAACTTAAAAACAAACAAACTCCGCCCTTCTGATAGCTTTATTAATTTGGAAAATGTCCTAGTCTTTTGTCTGTGTTAAATTAGTATTTAGTGTGTTTAAATTGTTTAAGTCCATTCTACTGTTTTTATTATTATTATTTTTTTGTTTGTTTTGTTTTACTTTACTTTGTTTTATTTGTAAGTCACTCTTTAAAATTTAATTTTAAGTACATATTATGTACGATTGGGTACAACCCGTTTATATGATGAATAAATAAATAAATTGTTCAATTAACCGTTAACCCTATAATGAACATCATCACTCATGCTGTTCTTGCTTCACCTGCTGGCTTTTTCCAGTTGTTTCCATGTTTTCCCAGGTTGTTGCAATTTGTCCTCAAGTACCCAGGAACTTCTCAAGAATTAGGAGAACAAGAGGCTTTGAATTCAATCTCGGGTTCCATCAAACCATCTCAAGCTAATTTTTTCTTTATTATAATATCTCATTGATTGTTCGCTCTGTTCCAATTTTCTTTGAGGATTTCAGTAAATTGCTTCTTAGTCTTCAAAACTATCTGAACATTTTTTATTTATTTTCAACAGTCTGACAAGCCCTCTAGTTTAAACCTTCAATGTAAAACTTTAAATTCACCACAAACAAACAGCGCACGTAGTAAATTTACTATTATCAAACTTTGCTAATATACTATTTATGCTGTTAATATTCATCAAACGTTATCAGAAAAGTGAAACAAAAACGATATGTGGGTGTTAATTAATTGACCTTGGATTAAAGAGAAAGGTTTCATATCAAGGACTAATGGTAGTTGACCTCATGTAAAAACAAAATGTTTATTTATTAAATAAAATTCATTATCTAGTCTACTTTTGATCATTTGAGGGTCACATTTTAAAGATGCTGTGAAGTCCTTGATTATCGCATTGACCTAATTATATTAATGACTAATTAACAGACATAAAAACAGTGTGAATTTATAATTATTTAGAAAAATATTTTAACCCTTCAAAATTGCAATAAACAAATAAGTGAAATTGAATATGGATGTAATGTAAACTTGATTAAAATTAGATTTGATAAGAAGTATGCTGAACTAAGAGATTTGTGTCTACTGTCCTAGATTAGGAAAAAATATCAAGATAAAATATGCAAAACTTTGAACGGAAAATTATCACTTTGAGATGTAAAACGCACTTTCAATCAGTTAATCATACAGGGTGTCCCACGATGGATGGCGTATTAGACGTTTATGGAGAACTAAAAAGCGGATCATATTGAAAATTTGGCAACCGGGATAAACGACCATAATCTACACTTTAAAAATATTTTTGTTTATGCGGTGTGGCCGCTTCTACTCTTAATCAGTGGCAACATCGCTATTTTAAATGGAACACCCTGTATGTGATTGCATATTTGGATTCTACGTAAAATTCTGAACAGATTTCATGTGATATACCCTATACCTAAGTTCAACTATTTCGGAAATATTGACAGTTGAAAATTGAGTTTTTGCAGCTTTGACAGGTTGTAAAACCTAAACGCTTGATTTTAGAGGAACGCCGATTTAACATTCCTATCTTAGATTTTCATAAACTATCATTTGACACCAACTCTGAATTTAACCGGAGATTAAATTTAATTGGGATTTTTAATCATGGATTAAACTCAAATTTGGTGTCAAATTATAGTTTATAAAAATCTAAGATAGGAATGTAAACTCGGTTTTCCTCTAAAATTAACCGTTCAGGTTTTACAGCCTGTCAAAGTTGCAAAAAGTCAATTTTGAACTGTCATTATTTCCAAAACAGTTGAACTTAGGTATAGGGTATATAACATGAAATCTGCTCAGAATTTTACGTAGAATCGAAATATGCAATCACATACAGGGTGTTCCATTTAAAATAGCGATGTTGCCACTAGGTTAGAGTAGAAGCGGCAACACCGCATAAACAAAAATATTTTTAAAGTGTAGATTATGGTCGTTTATCCTGGTTGCCAAATTTTCAAAATGATCCGCTTTTTAGTTCTCCATAAACGTCTAATACGCCATCCACCGTGAGACACCCTGTATATAATGACTTTTCAACATTTTTCCATAATTTCTTTTTGAGGGGGTTAAATAAAACTATCCTTTTTTTTTCGAAAAAAGAAGACCAAATAAATAACCTCGATAAGAATTTAATAGGGGAATCCAACGACCTGTCAAAATGGAATTCAAAATGGAGGCCAATGCCTTTTTTCCACTAATAATTTCTTAAACTAAAAACTTTCCATCTTAGAATACGAAAATTATCCTCCCAAACACTAGAAAATCATCTAAAAGCACCACAAAATACACAAAAAACAGTTTTTTGATGAAAAATTTCACGATTGCTTCAATTAAATTTATGGCGCCAATTTTTTGGCATTGACCACCATTTTGTTTGGATTGCCCTATTGTTTTTCAGTGGGTTTTAGAATAGTTATTTATGCAACAAGTGTGTAAAGTGAACCTTTTTTCACGAATGTGAATTTTGACGCACGAGCCGAAGGCAAGTGCGACAATCACATGAGTGAAAAAAGGTGCTTTACGCACGTATTGCATACAATTTTTTTTCTACTACCAATCAAATATGTATAAAAAAATAAATTTAGACAAATTCTTCACGCACTAGTGCGTAAAGTATTTTAACTTTACGCACTAGTGCGTGAAGTAATTTACCAGAAAAATAGTAATTTGACAGGTCGACATCTGTCATTGACATTACTTTACGCACTAGTGTGTGAAGAGACATTTTATGTCTTCTGAATAGTGCGTAAAGTGAGTACTTTAGCACGGTAGTAGAAAAAAGTATATTTGCAAAACTCAGCCACTTGAGATTATTTTCAAATTTCAATACTAATTTGGACATAGACAGGAAACCAGGGATCGACCGATACATTTTTTTTTTTTAAAAAACCGATATTGCGGATACCGATACGATATGGCTTTATAGAAGGCCGATACCGATATAAGGCCGATACCGATATATTATTTGTTTTCTCACACCTTTTCCTTTAGTTTGTTTTTTTAATTAAGTAATAAATAATTTTGAATTTGAGTTTAGATAAGCAGAATGTTAAGTTTTTTTTTTTATATAAATACCTAATTAATTTAAAATCTGTACCTCAGAGGTAAATTGTATTAAGTCATAATATTATAATTTAATATACTGACACTAAGTGATTCTAGTACAATTTACCTTTAAGCCTGGTGAGTCACTTGATACAGGTTCCAACTGGGTATTTCGGTTGTCTTAAAAGCTAGGTGTATGAATTTTTTTTCCCAGAGGTCAAGTAAGTTATTAGAAGTAGTATTCAGCTAAAACCCCATTTTCGAAAAAAAAGTGACTTATAGTTATTTATGGTACTAGTGTGTTATGTTGAAAATAAGTCAAGCGAGAAAGATTTATACCTCGAGGCCGTCAGGCCGAGTGGTATAAATTCTCAAGTGACTTAGGAAACATAACGCACGAGTGGCATACAATATTTTATCCAACAAGTAGAAGAAATCGGTTTTTCATGAGATAATAGAAAAAAAAAAACAAGATTCTATGCGTCGGCGTCTTCCAGCACGATCAGCAGCTCCACCGATATGGGAGCGTCTGGTTCCAAAGAACCAACGAATTTTACAATGACTTCAAATTCGAATAAACCGTTAATGTTTCCTTTAATTTCAATATCAATGTGAATTCTGCTTGTAATAGTAATAAATAAATAGAATACTACTTCAAATATGAACGTCAGTTATATTCCATAACTCACTGTTGAGTTATGAATTATAACACAGTAGTGTGTTATTTGATAGTTTACTTGTCTAAGATGACATTAATAATAATAGTCATAACTGTCATGTGTTGGATAAATACAGTTTACCTCTGAGGTACAGAAATAAAGGACCCCGCACACCTCTTATGGGTTTTTGGTTTTCTGTCAAACTCAATGAAATTTTAATATGTGATAGACCTTGACTTCCTGATAAAAAGTTCTCATGGGCTCGAACCAATCCTATGATTAGTTTTTGAGATACAGGTACTTTAATGTCCAAGAAATGTACACATTTTATATGTATTTACATCTACCTGTCACCTAATTATAGGCCTGTTTCTGAAAAAATCACAAACCCGTCAGAGTGAATTTGATTTTGATTGGTCGAAAACAGTCAGAAACAGTCAGAAAACTAGTTTCAACCAATGAAATTCACTTTGACAAACCTATTAAAAGGTGACAGGTAGATGTGAATGCATATAAAATGTGTACATTTCTTGGACATTAAACCACCTGTATTTCGGAAACTATTCATAGTATCAGGTTGGGCCCATGAGAACTTTTTATCATTAAGTCAAGGTCTATCACATATCAAAATTTTATTGAGTTTGACAGAAAACCAAAAACCCATAAGATGTGTGCGGGGTCCTTTATGAAAAAGAATTTCTAATACAGTAGTGTCGCGATAAACCGGATCAATTAAAACCAGACCAATCCGGATTATCAAATTATTCAGATAACTAAGGCATTTTACAGTCCGCTTTTAAAACAATTTTGAAAAAATAACATGCTGTATTTAGACAAAAAAGCTTTATATTTATTTGAAAAACAGGACAAATGAAGAAAATGATTCTATATAGAGTGCGAAATATGTAAGTAAGTACATAAGTGTAACAATAACTAGTCAATATTGTTCCAACTTTCGTTTACATTATTTTCAGCATTTGAATTTTGTCCACCTTTTTCTACATTTTTTTGCACCGCTTGGAAGAAGACGGACTCCATGGCTATGTTCCGATATCAACTGCTAGTACTGGATTTTTTGTGCTGATTTTACTGTCATTTGCCGATCCGATTTCAACAGCGTATACTCTTGACTCTTGTGGCCATTCAGTACTGAATCGACTGAATCCAGTGTACTTAAAATAATATCGGAACAGCGTCCAGTAAATTCAGTACTGACAGTTGATATCGGAACATAAGCCATGTCAGGTAGAATTCTACATCGAAAAAGCCTTAGTGATGATTACTGATATTTTAAAATATGATTTGTATCGGTCTAAAGTTATCGGCCAATGATTGGCAGATATGTTGAAACACCGATATTCCTGAAAAAGGCCGATACGCCGATATACCGATATCCGATATGCCATATCGGTATCGGTCGAACCCTGCAGGAAACTAGCAATGTACTTTTTTCGCAAACCTTGAAATCCAACAACAAAGCAATCTGGCCATGGGCAAATATGAAAAAGTAAACATTGTGGTCACACCAAATTTGTTTGCGAAATTGTAAAACCAACCACGCTTCAGATGTGTATAAATATTGCCATGTGGGGGCTGAACAAATAACAAATAAATAACTGCTATAAGCATTTTGGTGAACAAATTATGGCCAATTGTCAATGAAAAACTTACCGTAAATGTTGATACACCCCAAAAGTGTCACTCAGGCCGCTCAAGTCCTTATGCACAATAATTTTTAAAAAAGCCCTAAAAGGAAACAAATATATTATATAAATAAATAACTCTTATCAGCGAGAAGTGTGTTATAGTACCTTCTAGAAAATTAGATTAAAATCAATATAAGCAAACATGTTTTTATCAGTTTTGTTGTGATTTGTAAAAGAGAAATTTGAAGAGCCCAGATCGGTCATGTGCACGGGTAACAAAGACAATGGCTTTTGTGGTTATTAACACCGAGTAAAAAAATGGAAAAATAATTCATCAACATGCCAACACTTTACCTTAGAGGAGTAGTGGGTTTTCTACGAGCTACATATCATTGGTTCCGAATAACTGAATCGCTGTGGGGGCAAAGGAATTTTCCGGAATGACGAGAACAACGAAAAATCTTAATAGAAACGTAGTAAATTTGTTATTTTTGTTTAATAATTACGAGAGGAAAAATAATTAATTGTTGCAATTTGCAGAGTTGCAAATCGTCAACTGTCACTGTCATAGTCGATTCACTGTCTGCTGTCAAGTCCAATTTCCACTGTTGCCGAAACTAATTTCTGGAAATCTAGGTCTTTTCATATTTTACAAAAATTCAGTAATTCACATAGCAGGTCGATTCTCTTAAGTGTAAATGGTTGAAGGCAATTCAATTAACGAAAAACGAAGTGCCAATTTAAAAGTTAAAATGAGCAAAACAATTTCTCTGCGTTTTCATTCCCATCAAATTTTACCGAGGGATCCACCGTTCTATGGCCGTCATTGTCATTTTCCATTCACTAAACAAAGACAGCTAACTTATCGGTGAAGTCACCGTTGAGAATAAAAACGAAGGGTTTGTGCAACGTTGTGCTGTGGTTGTATCTTGTCATCTGTCTCCTCTTTAAGCGTGTTCAGGAGCGAGTTCAGGAATGACACACCCAGTGTGAGTGTGACATCGGTGCGACGCCCTAGCTGTTCAAAAATGCTAGACGGTGCTATGGGCCCAATGGCCAATTGTCAATTCAGACACACCCATAAAATCGCACTCGCACCCTGTGCGTTATTTCTGAACTCGGCCCTGTGTTCGAAAACATCGTTATTGGGGTGTTCTGTGATTGGGGTAAAACGATTTTCCAGGTTCGGTTCAACGCGATCTCGCACTAGAACGGCAAACGCAGGTTTCGTTGGATTTGATTGGAGCAGAACTAGCAGATACAATGAAAACCTTTCGAACAATGGTGTTTAGAAAAAGTGAATTTTATTCATCGATGGATTCTTCTGCCAGCATTATGGGAGAGCCGTTCCGATTTTCTATGAGCTAGACAAAGATAGAAGGGTCATCAATAGATCCAACGGTGAATAAAAGGAAGCGCCCAACAAAGTATAGTGACATTTCATTTGACCCATTTGACTTTGACATTTGCCAATTCAAATTTCTGTCACACTCTCCTGTGCGCTGCTAAATACTCGTTTTTTTTGTTAATTCGAAATTGTTTTGTGTGTAATTTCAAAAGAGAAGAGAATTGAGAGAATAAATCCTCCATTTTGCATCAGTTTTTTCGCTTTTCCCTAGCAAAAATCAACCGATAGGTACCCAATTCTCATCTGCTCTCTTAGCTTCAACTGTAAGTAACTTTGGCCCCCTTTTCCTTTCAAAAAAAGAAAAAAATTCATCAAAAATTTCCAGTTTATCGCTCATCATGTCTGAAGAGAGCCCCAAAAACGACGAAGTCGTCGCTCCTGTTGAAGAAAATCCCGATCAAGAAGATGGCGAAGGCGAAGCCGAATGTCCAGAAGGCACCACTGTAACACTGCAAGATGTCATGGAAATTCAGGACGAACTTGTGAACGATGCTGCTGCAATTTTGGGAGCCGCTAGCGACAAGAAATGTTCATACGCCGAGGTAAGAATCATTGAACAATCATACATTTTTTATTCACATTCAAGTCTGGTTTATTCATCTTTAGGTAAAGTTGCTGGTAACTATCTGTGAGATAAATATACCAGTCTATAATCCTATGACCAATCAACGACTTACATTACATGAATTGCGTTTTTATATGTCAGATCAGATCGCATTACCTGACAGTTTAGTTTATCAGAAGGTGAATAAACTGGCCTGGCACGTAGTATATTATTTTATCCATTTCATCCTAACATTTGTGGAGATGTGGTATATAGCGCACATATTTAAAGTGGGCTCATAACTATAACGAGTATAGTATGCAATTCTTCAGTGAAATATGAAATATTTCATCGAGTATTTCATACAAGTAAACAGTGAATTGGAAAAATTGTATAAAAGGTTGTGTCAAAACAGATTAAAATTGAACGGATTGAAAACAAAGTGTATGGTTATTGGTTCTAAGATAATTTGTAATAGATATCTTAATTCTAACTTGACAGTGAATAATAATGGGGAAAAAGTTGATCTTGTCTCTGAAATAAAATACTTGGGGGTGAGCTTGGATTCTCAGCTTACTTTTGGAAATCACATTGATTATGTATGTAAAAAATTAGGGAAGAAGATTGGCGTTTTTTACTGAAACTGTCAGCATTTGTCTCAATAGGCAAGAATGCTGGCTTATCAAACAATACTGTTTCCCCATTTCTCTTATGCCAGTTTCTTGTTAATATCTTGTAATAGGGAAGATGTGCATAGACTTCAAATTCAACAAAATAAAGTCATGTAGTGGAGCGAAATAGCCTATGAAATGTTAAAAAAAAATTTTTTGGCTTACAACCACATAAAATGCCTATATTATTATTAACTGTCTTAAGGATCCAAAATGGCGATTTACGATATTTTTTAGTGGTCGAGAGATTTTTTATTTAGAAAAATATCACCAATTTGGATAAAATCGAAAAATGTAAATTTTAAGTTCACACTTTAATATCTCTAATACTAACAAAGCTAGGAAATCGATTTTTTTACCAAAATAAAGTCCATTTATTGGGCTTTCTAACAGACCTATACATTGCTGTACCGAAAAATGTTCTATATTTTTTAAATGATGTTTTAACTGTTACGTCACAAAATATGACTCTAAAATTTCACTAAGCGACAAACTTTTTTATTTTCAACTTTTTCCACATACATGCTGCGAAGCAAAGAAAGAAGAAACATTCAAAAAGTTTTTAAAGTAAAAATCTTTTATCTCCGATGTATAGTTTTTTTGCAATGAATTTTACAAAATCGCGCAATCTTGAAAATTCAGGCTTAGCGTACACGGGATCGGCGTCAGCGGCTTGTCGTTTTTACACCATTTAGTAGGTACGATTTTGTAGCTGAAAATATTTTTTATAATGTATAAGTGTATAAGTGTTATTGTAAAATTGAGGTATAGGAAAATTACTTATTATGTGTCTGTAGTTTATTTTCAACCTAATTCTAAGTTAAACTTGTACATTGAATATTTTAATCTATTTGAAAATATTTTAAATGAACTAAACCATGTTATAATTTTAGGAGATTTCAATTTGCCATTTTACATGAGCTGTGATAATGATAAGAGTATTTTATTGCACGAGTTTCTAAGCTTTAACAATCTAGTTCAATATAATGATATTAAAAATTCTAGGGGCAGGTACCTGGATCTACTGATATCCAACTTTAGTCTGGGAGATTTGCATAGGGTTGAAAATACGTTAGTTCCCGAGGACCCCTACCATCCGGCAATTGAATTTCACATCCCTCTAAAACACTCAACGTATGCCAAAGATACAATAAAGAAACAGTATTCATATGACTACAGAAAAGGTAACTTTCTCTTGCTATATCAGTTGGTAAAAGATTGCAATTGGTCCGATCTCATTGAATGTGTAAATGTTAATGACTGCCTTGATCTGTTCTATAAAATGATGTATTCTATTTTTGATCAAGCCATACCAAGGCATGTGGTAAGAGAAACTGCACATGAACCCAAATATCCATGCTGGTTTTCTCTTGACTTGGTGCGTAAAATAAGAAATAAAAATAAATTACACAAACTTATACAAAAAAATAAAGCAAATTCTGTGCAAAAAAATCTGTACAATGCACTGAGAAAAGAAACAAAACATCAAATAAAAAGTGAAGAAAAATTGCACAGACAAAGTATTGAAGCAAACATTATTCAAGATCCTAACGCTTTCTGGCATTTTATACGCTCCAAGTCAAAACCAAGCGGATTGCCGGGGGAAATGCGGTTCGAGGGCTCAGCGTACAGCACTCCTGGAGACATTGCGAATGCTTTTGCACAGTTCTTTAAATCTGTTTTCCAGGTCTCAGATATTCCTGGCAGCTACAAGGCAGCCACGGATGCATCTCTATTCAGTCTACCTCCTGTAACTGAGTTTGATGTTCTTGATGCGATTAAAAAACTAAAACCTAAAAAGTCAACAGGCCCAGACAACATACCTGCCTATATATACAAGGGTCTTGCCGATTTTATGATGAAACCTCTGGCACATATTTTCAATCTTTCCATCACAAGTACACAATTTCCTGAAGCATTTAAAACAGCTCTGGTTACACCCATTCATAAAAACGGTAATGTGAATGAAATCAGCAATTACAGACCAATAAGCTTAATCAACGTAATAGCAAAGATATTTGAACAAATCCTATGTACCAAATTAACAAGCGCTCTAAAGCCAAAAATTTCTAAATTTCAGCATGGTTTTGTGACTGATAAAACTACTGTTTCAAACCTTTGTGTGCTATCTGAACGTGCTTCTGAGGCAATAAAAAATAAAAAACAATTAGACGTCATCTATACCGACTGTGAGAAAGCCTTTGACAAGGTCGATCATGGGCTGCTTCTGGATCGACTAGTTTCTATGGGAATATCATACTCCACCTTTATGTTCCTAAAATCATATCTGCTGAATTGGGTTCTGATGGTAAAGATAGGCAAGACTACCTCAAGCAAGTACGTGGCCACCTCAGGAGTGCCTCAGGGTAGCACCTTAGGCCCACTGTTGTTTGCTTTGTTCATTAACCCCCTCCCTGGCTGCCTTACTGAGTCATCGGGACTGCTTTTTGCGGATGATTTCAAATTTTTCAAGGAAATATCTTCACCTCAGGATTGCTTCTTGCTTCAGGGGGATGTGGATGATGTCAATTGTTGGTTTAGGAAGAACAAAATGTCATTAAATGTGAAAAAGTGCTCAGTCATGACTTTCTCACGAAAAAACAACATTATTGGGTATGACTATGCTATAAATGGGGTCAATTTAGAACGAAAGAGTGAAATCAAAGATTTGGGAGTTGTCTTTCGGAGCGATGTGAGATTCAATTCCCATTTTATTGGAATGGTCAATAGGGCTTATAAATCTTTGGGATTCATTATCAGAAATGGAAAGTCCTTTGAGTTGGGAACGATTGTTAGACTTTATCATGCTCTAGTGAGACCACATCTAGAATATGCTGCCCAGGTTTGGATGCCCACAGCCCACACGCATGTGGACCATATAGAAAAAGTTCAAAAGAGGTTCTTGAGATACCTTTATGTCAGGAAAAATAACATATATCCTTATATGGTTTCATATAGAAGCATGCTTGAGGGCTTTGGGTTTCAGAGTTTGCAGGATAGAAGAGATAAACAGGCTGTAATATTTGTATTCTACCTTCTGAATTATATAAAGTATAAAGACTGTGATTTAACTAAATATATACACATTAACGTTCCTAAAATTAATTTAAGAAACTTAAACTACGAGCTTTTTAGTGTAGATCTAGTCAGTACATCACCCATAAATACAATGTTATTAATATGCAATAGAGTACTCGCCCGAGTCAACATAGATATATTTTTCACAAGTATCAGAGAATTACAGATGATATAAGTAAATCCTAGTGCTGTGAATGTCTGTTTGTTTAGTTTAATTTTGGTCTAGTATAGTATAGTTTTTTTTTTTTCTTGTTAAGTTGTTTTTAACCATTACCTATAATTACCTCATCGGTGTTTGTAATGTGAACCATAAATAAATAAATAAATATGCAATTTATTAGTTGAAATGTTGTAATAATAATAATATTGTGAACCCCTAATGTACTTTTGTTTGATGAGTTTTGAAAGCTGTGTAGTGTGTATAGCTTTGCTATATATTATTTTAAGGCAACATGGAAGAACGCTTGAGCGAATGTTAGCCGCTTGTGTAATAATGTATTTTGTATTTTATTTTATTTTATTACGCAATAAATATTTTTATTATTATTATTATTATTATTATTATATGCAGACGGGTCAGTTTTTTTTCTTTTTAATTAGAAGAATAAAAATAAAACATAAAACCAATATTGTTTTTAATCCTTATAATAAAGTAGGTATCTTGTTTTTAGTATCTATTCAACCTCTTCTTCTTCATTTTCAGACACCTTTGTTTGTTCCATAATTTATTTTTGATTTTTGCACTAGTTACAGCTACACTCATCACAACATTTCAGCCCCTCCTCAATGCAGGTGCATTTTGAATTCATGCAGTTCTTACCTGCACAATATAAGCTTGAATCTTGTCTTATAAATTGGGGCACTGGTTGTTGGCTCGAAAAGACTGGATTCCAATTCTCATTTTCCAAGATCGAACCATTACATTGGGGATCATTAGACCCCATCTTTAGGCCCGACAAGAGAGAGGAGGGGGAAGACAAGACAAATTCCCGGGCCCGTAAGAACTGGGAGGCCCGGGTTCATGGGTTCACAGTGAAAAAACAAAACCAAATTCTTAGCTGATTAATGCACCTAAAATTTTATGATAAAAATAAAATCAAACTTTGAATGATAAATGAAATTATTTACTCACTTAAGAAAATGTTGATAAAAGGCTGTGTTAGTTGGTGGCAGTTCTGATGATGGCTTATTGGTTGTTGTAGCCATACGCAAGCGTAATTCATTGAGTGGTTTTATATTGCAACAACAC